AACGTATGAAAGCGTCTGCTTTCATTTTGTATGTAGCCAAGCACCACCTGGCTGTCAGTCCAGAAGTAGACGCTGTCGATAGACATAGATAGTGCTGACGTGATACTTTCAGCGAGTCTTGTAGCTAAGACAGCTCCCTGCAACTCCAGACGGACCACGGTCAGCTGCTTCAGAGGAGCGACTCGAGTCCGGCTCATGACCAGCGCGCATTGGATAGCGCCGGTCGCGTCGATTTGCCGGAGGTAGCCTGCTGCGCCGAAGGCTGCTTCCGAGGCATCGCTGAACACGTGCAGCTCTGACCTCTTCACTGGTCCATCCAGAGCGGTGTAACAGCGAGAGATCCGTAGCTGTGAGAGGATGTTGGCTTCCTCTTGCCAGCATCGCCACCTGTGAAGGTCCTGTTCGTCCAGCTGGCTGTCCCATGTAAGCTGCTGTCTCCATAGACCCTGCATCAACAGCTTTGCCTGCAGCATAAACGGCGACACCAGACCGAGCGGGTCGTATACCGCTGCTATTGCCTTCAGAATTCCCCGTTTCGTCGTTGGGAGATTTCGTTTCTTCGGAACGTTTAGACCGATCGTGTCCTGTTCCGTGTCCCAGATCAGGCCGAGCACGCGCTCAGGAGAGAGCGGAGTGAATGCGTCCAATTCGGAACGAGCCCTATCGGTCGGCTGAACAGATTCCATCACCTCTCTTGAGTTGCTTGTCCATTTTCGCAGGGTGAACCCGCCTGTGGAGACGAGCTTGGTGACGGTGTGAAGTAGGTCGGCAGCACTCTTAGGACTTTCTGCTGAGGCCACGTAGTCGTCCATGTAGAACTGCTTTGCAATGTCAGATGCCGAGTGCTTGTTGAGTCCGACTTCTACTTGACTTTCAATCACCTTTCGTAACGCGTAGGAGGCGATCGCAGGAGAGCACTTTGCGCCAAAAATGGCGACATTCATTTCGTATGTGTCTGGAGGTCGGCCACACTCCAAGTCCCTCCAGAGAAAGCTGAGGGCTGGTCGATCGCTCTGCTGGATGCGCACTTGATGGAACATTTGATCGATGTCCCCGACTATAGCCACCGACTTCTCGCGAAAACGCATCAGAATAGCCGGAAGCTCTTGAAGAAGATCTGGGCCAGTTAGCAGCTCTTCATTCAGCGAAGTTCCATGGAACTCTGCGGACGCGTCGAACACAACTCTTATCTTCCCGGGCTTGTTCTGATTGAAGACGGCATGATGAGGAAGGTACCACCTTTTAGGGTTGGCTTTGGCTGCCTCGTCTTGTCCCAGCTTACGAGCATGCCCGAGAGAGACATAACTGTCGATGACTTGTTTGTATCCCTTCGCCTTGTCAGGGTTACTTCGAAGTGATTTTTCAGTTCGTTCCAGGCGACGGAGTGCGCCGATGCGATTCTCCGGCAGCGACACTTCGTCCTTTTTCCACAGGAGACCACATTCAAAGTGACCATCGTCTTGAAGCCTGGTCGTGTCTTCGAGTATTCGAATGGCTCGTCTGTCTTCGTGCGAAGTCTCTTTCTTCAAGTCGTGTGAGGTACCGAATGAGTCCGTTTTCCACCAGTTCTGCAGCAGCTCGTTCAGCTCGTCTTCCTGAGAGGTGCTGCGGTGGATGTGCATCACATGGTGCTGATCAGTCGGAGTCAAGCTGGCGATGGAGCCAGTCAGAGCCCAACCGAAATGCGTTTTGATGGCGACTGGCTGGCCTGCTTTCCCGACACGTACTTCTTTCTGGAGAATCGCTTCGGTAACATTGGCTCCAAGAAGCACTTCTACTTGGTCTGCGCCAACATCGGCTATGTCCAGCCCGTTCAAATGAAGCCACTTCGAGCGCGCGGAGGAGCTCAGCTGGGGTACCGGAACGTTCAGTCTTGGCACCGTCCATACTTCATTTACAGTCACTGAGCGTGTCTCCGAATCCTCCGCCAGTGCGGTGAGCTTCACCGATGTCTTCATGGCCATCCGCTGCGGTCCGCTGCCTTCCACGTTGTTCAGCGATAGAGGCCGAACTTCACCAGTCAGCTGCAGCTTCTCAGCCAGCCGGTCGGTACACAGTGAGGTCTGAGCCCCCGAATCGAGAATAGCGAACGTGTCGACGTAAGTATTGTCTCCGTGAACCCTAACCGGCACTATCTGAAGCAGGGTCATTTCATCCTTCCGTGGAGTTGTAGCCGCGACTGTCCTACGAGTTGAACCATCAGTCTTAGAAGGGAAGACTCTGCTGCTGCCGTGAAGAAGGCGATGATGTCTTCCCCGGCAGTTTTCTTCTTCACATGTCTCTACCGATGGACAGTGTCGCGACCGATGTCCTAGTTTCAGGCACAGAAAGCAGCGAGCACTTTCACCGATAAACTTTGCTCGTTCTCCTTTTGACAGCTGCAGAAACGAAGGGCACACGGACAGCTCGTGTGACTCTCCGCAGCTACAGTGTGGCGCGTCCTGCTCGTGCGGAGGTCTGGCGCTCTTTATGCTGGCCTCCGGTGCCGTGGTCAAGGTTGCTGGAGCTGAAGGTGTTCTTAGGAGGCTCTTGTAGCGGTCACTCTTGTAGCGAGTCGTTCTGTCGTAGTCCGTGGGCTTGGCTGGGAGGGCCGTGACGATGCGAACTTGTTGGCTCAGCCAGCTGTCGAAGTCCCTTAGACCAGGTCGTTTTGGCTCCATTTCCACGATTTGACGCCCCCATTCTCTTTTCAGCTCGTTCGGTAGTTTCAGCACGACCCGACGAAGGTTTTCGGTGCTGTTGAGGTCACCTTCGAATCCCATATTTTCAAGAACTTTGACCGCGCAGCGGACGACAGCATGGAATCTTTCCAGCGCCGTCGGGTCCAGCTCTTTCATGGGTGGTGTGCAGAAGACGGCAGAAAGATTGGCATTTACGATGTCCTGTTCCTTTCCAAATCTCTCCATGAGCGTTTCTAAGGCTACAGGATACAGCGCACCATCATACAGCATTCCTTCGACTGTCTGCTTGGCCAGCCCCGTGACAGAAGACTGAAGATGGGCGAGTTTTTCTGCGTCGGACAAACACTGCTGGTCGTGTATGAGCGTTTTAAACAGTCCGATCCATTGTGGCCATTCAGTTGCCTTCCCGCTAAACATTGGTAGTTTGATCTGGGGAACACTTCGATGATGACCGCCCGGTGGGTACTGCCCTGCTGACGTCATATCTTGCGGTTTGTTTGCCACCTCGGAAATCCAGGATGTTGCAGAAGCAGTCCGTCTTGGATTTAAATTTTGAACCTGCCGTTCCTTCGGTGCGTGCTCTTCTGCTTGATCTTGTTGGTTAGCCATGGTGCTCGTCGGCTGGTCCGGTTTCTGCGCCGTCAAACATTCGGTTACTGGACCGTCTGTTGGGGCTGCGGCACCTTCGTCGTTCATCTCGATGACACTCGATTGCTGATGTCTTTGGTTTTCAGCTTCTCCGTCGAAGTCATTTATTCTTTCCCATTGCAGCTCGTCCTCAGCTGCCTGGCGTAAATCGGCCTCCTTTGCAGCCAATTCTGCAGCGTCCCTCGCTTCAGCCAGACGCATCTTTCTTCTCGCCTCTTCCTCAGCCAGACGCACTTTCCTCGTTGCCTCTTCCAGAGCTCTCTCCTCTTGTGTGCGCCGTTCTAGCTGCTGCGCCTGCAGCCGTTTCAGACGGGCATTAATTTGGGCTTCTTTAGATGCTGTAGAGCGGTTTGACGTAATTGACGCTTGAGATCGTATGCTTGAGCCCGCCCTTCGCGAGCTCGCTTCGGAGGGTGCGTCGCTCTTACGTGCCATTAAGTACGACGTGATTTTGTCACCAATTGATTTATAACGCTCCTCCACCTCTTCCATGTAGCGTTCTGATATTCTTATATCTTCATTGTCATCTTCGAGTCCTCTTATATACGCATCGTTTGCTTCAGCCACGTTGTCTAAAGCCTCTCCGATCCTTTCGAGTAGACCTTGCAGTTGCGTTCTGCTTCCGTTTGATGCGATAATGGTTTCGGCTGTATTACAGAGTCTCGTAAATGCTCCCTTCTTCCTGGCCCGTAACTTCTTCTCAGCCGTCTCCATGATAAGGGCTACAATTTACTTTAACTGTAAAAGTGCGAGATAGATGCTAGCGAGTAAAGTAGGTCATCGTTAAGTTACAATGAACTCGGGGTCAATGGCAATCGATGACAAAAGCACACGATAAAAGGATCGATTCTTATCGATCCGGCCCGGAGGACCATTAATTGTTGTCGTTACAACAATCACGAATGTTGAGTTAATGAATACATTACGTTAAATGCGAAAAATTCCCATATTACGAATACGAAAAGCGAAGGGAAACGAATCGTCGTAATGCACTCAAAAAACTGTATTTTTCGTCGAAACCCGTCGGAACGTTCAGTAAAATCATAAATAAAATATTAACGTTCCTCGTGCGCTCCAATCGCTGTCGCCTTTCGTAACGGCGGCGACAACAATGAAGGCATATACTTTCATTGTTGTCGACAGTGCTTAAACGGTAGCGTCATAGATAATCCATTATCTACACGTTATGTAAATTGTAACGGGTCTCATCTGGGTACGAAACGAACGCATATAGATTGTGTAATATGTTACGCAACATGGAAAGCTGGCTTTCGAATGCGAAGAAAATTACGTGTTCATTCATTTCCTGCATGGTTTGTATTGTATGTATGCCAAGACTTTGACATATAGCAGGCACTTTCAGCTTTTCGCAATGCAAAAGAGCTTATATCAACCTCTCGTGACTAAGTTGGACTCTGATAACCCATCTGAACTCCGATGACCCGTCTGACGTCTGGTGACCCGTATGACCTTCGGTGACCTCCGACAGTGCCCAGGAGCAGACGGTGACACTGTCCCCGACTCTGACCTCTTGTGACCTGTCTGACCTCTGGTGACCTCTGGTGACCCTTCTGACCTTTTTTACCTCCGGCAGTGCCCAGGAGCAGACGGTGACCCTGTCCCTAACACTGACCTCTGGTGACCCGTGTGACCTCTGGCGACCTCCGGCAGTGCCCAGGAGCAGACGGTGACCCTACCGGAGGGCTACGAGTGCCTGGACTGCTCGATTCGTCTGGTGCGCCAGGCCAACGAGTGGAGCCCGCGCTACAACTTCTGGAGCTGCGCTGACGTCGACATCGTCGGTACGTGACGTCATCGGGACGCGCGGTGGAGGGTGTGACGTCATATAGACGATGGAGATTTTGAATCACGAACCATGTCTCCTAATTCATGCATCAGTGCTGAATCACCATATGCCTGTTCTCAAGTCCTTGACAGTTCTTTTTTACTGGCATACTTGCAGACATGTAGAACCTTGTCGGTTGGTAGGTATTTTGAAACAAGCGGAGTGCAGAGTGATGAAATTATATTTGCATGCATCATGCTTGAATCCAGATTGCCATGGCCACTTGATATAAAGGCGACCTTCACTCAGACCTACCGCCCCTTGCCTTACCCGTAACAATGGGTCTGAATCCATTGTCAGCCCTGTCCATCGTCTGCGTCCGAAACTCAATGGCGAAGACGATGGATGACCTCTAAATGGACTCACACGGGCCTTTCCCGTCAGCTGAGGTGAATTATGAGCGTTCCTAACGCCATGTCAATAGGCTGAAGATTGTCAAACGGTGGCGCTACACGCTCCGAGACGGCGAAATGTCGGGGAATTTTCGGACGCCGCCTCGCGTGTCTTTCGCGTGTGTGTCGTCCCTTGTCTCAAAAGCGTTCATTGATCGTCTTCGTCGTTTTTCGTGTTAACAGATGTTCAGTCGTGGATGACTTGAGGCTTATTCTTCAGAGTTTTCGTTGGGAAGTCTAATTTCATCATATATTGCTCGAATGTCATTTATGTGCGCTCGTGAAGAGGTCACACGAGCTAGAACCGTGACAATCTCACGGACGGCTGCATGAGCGCTAAACCGCCGAGCTGAGCTCCAGCCAAGGACGCCGCCTTGCTCCGAATATGGAGCGTCCTTCCGATATTCCTTCCCCGCCCTGCACCCTCTCCTGCCGCTCCTGTCCTCTGCAGCACCACAGGGATTGGCAGCAGAGGGGCGCCCCGCGGGCCCCCGCCGGTGCACCCCGAACTGCACCCGGCACGTGTCTGGTGCGGAGGACTGCGCCGAAGGACGGGGTGAAAGTGTAGGAAGGCGCCGGCCTCCTGTCGAGACAGATTGACGGTACCAGGCGCCAGGACGGTTTGCTGGTGAAATCGAGAGGCTGGCGAGCCAACATCGGGTGGAGCAGTATGGAAATTGATGCAAATTATTTCAGTAGCTTTCGCTGGGATGTCGCTGAAACGCATTCTGGCTTCCGGCTCTTCTTCCAATTCACACCATGTCTTGTATTGTTCCCCGACAATGAATCCAGAAACAGTTTGTTTTATTTTAGGGAATGCCAATGTTAATTTGAGTCTAAATTAAGCGAAACGTGGGGTAGCTGTGATCAGATCACGTCTGTGAATGGCCGGCATCCGACTTAGACCGGCCTCTCGCTGCCCGGCTGAGCGGATTTGGCACCTGGTTTGCGGCCGTCTGAACCCTCTCCAGCCGGCGGTGCCTGCCTGTGAAGGCCACCTGCCGGTATGTGTGGCTCGGCGAGTAGTCTGTTGGCGCTGTGCGCTGCAATGGTCGGGTATCGGTCGTTTTTGTTGGTAGCGCTCGTTATGTCTGACTGATCGACCGAGTGACTCGGTGGATCACCTTGGAGGGTCCGCCTTGGATGCCGGCCGTCCTGTGGACAGAGAAATGACGAACAGCAATTAGGCTGAGCAGAAAACGGCATAGTAGTCGAATGACGGCCCAATGCAAGCCGTTCTAATTGAGTTCAGTAACAACCAAGGGCAAACCCATGATTTGTTGTTAATCCTAAGAATCTGGCTCTATATTATATCCCGCCTTGCTGTGACCTGAGATACCTTTATCGACTCTGCCCTTCATATTTCGTCACCGTTCTGACCTGACCTGACCTGACCTGACCTGTCTCGCCCACAGGTAACGACTACAGGGAGGACTGTAACGGTCACGGACGTGCCTCGTTCGGAAAGTGCCGCTGTGAGAAGCGCTGGTACGGAGAGCGATGCCAGTTCTCGGTGAGTTTTCAGCCTATCTGGCAATCCTGCCATCGCCAGCAACCAGCTTCTGCTGTGGGGTCGTTTAACAATGTCAGAAGTCCAACCCATTACAGCCTGATGAAGAAAATAGAGGACATTTTTACATCTGGGGGAACGGATCCTGTCTGTGGGGAAGAGAGGGGATCGGTGGGAGGAGATGCTCCCTCAGTCTCACCCCAGACCGCACGGGCCAACATCCTCCGCTTCTTACCCTCCTGTGATGAATGTGGGAGGATGAGGGTGATATGGTGTAACTACCACCGGCCCGGGTCAACTCAACTCCCATAGGGTGACGTTCAGGGGCGCACGCGGCCGGAGTGCGGGAGGGAGCACTCGCAGATGTAACGATAAGCTGGGAAGTGGACCAGAATCGTGGCCGGCGTTGCGCCATGCTGCCCATCGCGTGTTGTGCGAGTTGATTCGCGTAAACCGTGGAAGAATGCGGGTTGTGTAAGTGGCGTGTTTATAGTGACGTTTGTGGTGGGTTTTTGATGTCAGGCGCACCAGCTACGGGTGTTACAAAACTAGACGACGATTTACACGAGACATTGTGGTAATTAGCGAGGAAAGAAAAAAATCATATAGCTATCTTGTAATCACCTCTAATCTTTCCAGAACGAGTGCGAGGAAGACAAGCACTGTGGAAGGTACGGCAAGTGTGTCGACCTGGCTGCCACCTCGTACCCGAAGAAACAGTGCTTCTGTCGCGTCGGCTACTTTGGCAAAAACTGCGAGCAGAGAAATCGTAAGTTACACAATAAAGGGAAGATGTGGCAGTTTTTTGCAGTGCTTTAGTTCGTTGGTTATCATATGCTACTGCATTTTCCTGAAATGTGATAATGAAGAACATTTGCCACTCTAATGAGCTCGTGAATTTTTAGCTTCAGCTCTACAACCGAATATGTGCATATATCCCGGGTTGAAATAAGCAATATGCTTCACATGCTGCTTATCCTCCATATTGTTAACGTCCGCCTCGTTTTCAGCTGCCGGTATGCGCAAGCCCATCACGAACCTGGGCCTGTACCAGAAGAAGGAGCTCTCGCCCGAGTTCACCCTCTACTGGCGCCAGCTGCGCGACATTGGCGAGATCGAGATGGTGATGCAGGTCCGCGGTCAGAGCTACGCCGCCGTCGGCTGGCGGCCCAACGGCCTGGACGGCACGTGCAAACACTTCCCGGCCATCGAGGTCACCCACACCTCCACCGGAGGAGAGGGAGCCCACCCGGAGCCGGAGCCGGAGCCAGAGTCGGAGCCGGAGCCTGAGGCCGAGGCGGAGCCGGAGCCGGAGCCTCATGCCGAGCCAGAGCCAAGCAGTGAGCCAGAACCGGAGCCGAGCAGCGAACCGGAGCCAACTAGTGAGCCAGAACCGGAGCCAAGCAGTGAGCCGGAGCCATCGAGCGAGCCGGAGCCAACCAGCGAGCCGGAGCCGGAGCCGAGCAGCCAGCCGGAGCCGGCGGACGAAGGCGAGAAGCAGGCGTCAGGTAATTCGCGGATGGATAAGTTCCGTTCCGGCGGGTTCCGTCGTCAGGCGAAGGGGTCGCGCACTCGTGTCGCCGTGCCCGCCGCTCTGCTGTCCGGCGGTGTCACTGTGCGCGACGACGATCGGCCGCAGCGTGTGCGCTCTATCGGTAAGTGAGACGGCGCGCGGCCGGCGCATGCGGCACGGCTGACGGCTGACCGGAGGCGGAGGTCGGACGACTCACCTGCTGCGGGCCTGCGGTGGCACCGGGACGGCCGGCGGATCAGGCCGGGCGGCGCTCACGGCTCGGGGTGAAATCGGGAGGGGTGTTGTTTTATAAAGGAAAGCAGCCGTCTGCGCCGTCCGGTCGACCCCGGCCCTATCGGAAACAGGTATGAGGTGGAACGAACTGTATATACGGTGCTAACGACATAGATCGGACGCCTGATCGGGCCTCACACGAAGTATGGGTTTCAGAGTCTATGTTATGAAGTTGACAAACCTGCTACCTAGTATGTATATTGTACAGCGTCAGTAGAGTCGCTCACCAACGCGATACTAGAAGCTGTATGGCCGTGGCAAATACTTGTGCATGCTAATCGTTAGTTTTGTCGAAACCTAGCACTGTATAAACAAATGCACCGTGGCCATTTTGACCGGAAAATGCCCTATCCGTCGATAAGATGACTTGCAGTCTGCGTATGCAAATTTCTTTTCTTTGCGACGACTTGGTTAGACGTTTCACTGCCCTTGGTGGTGAAACTGTTTATTTCACGTTCACAGCTGACTGACCAAACGCATGAGAGTGTTGACTGTCACCAAAGAACTACGCTGAATCGACTGTGTTCCCTGACGCAACTTTGACTCCCTATCCTGTTGTCGCTCCTCGTATTTCGAAATAACCATCAATGACCAAAACACGATCTTGTGACATTGTCTTACAAGTCTGACTAAAAACTTGTGCTTTATCAATTTCTTTTCTGACTAAAGACAATCTTGCTGACTTTGACTCAGCATGTTCTACTAAAATGGCTTTAAATGCACGTGCACGCTGCATCATCCAGCTGCATGTTGTCTTGCTCATAAAAAACACTTGCTGTAACATACACTTACGTTATATCATTTACTTACTTTTATTTTTAAACACCAATTTTTATTTGGAATGTCAGCAAGACAAATATAAATTTTTTAAGTTCGTCAAGGTATTTCGTTCTTCAAATACTCTGTTACCGATCTTCCGTCGCTGTCTTTTGATTTTATCAGCGTTGGTGTTCCTTTCTTCCACTGCCTTCTTCTTCCGCATTCTTGTTTTAGTTCTATCCTTTCTTGATCGTAGATGTTCACACTTCACAGCTGTTACATCGTTATCTTTCTTCGACCATGGAGGCTGATCTTTGGCTGTGATGCCCGCAGGCGGTGTTGACGTCATCACTCGTCAGAAGAGGCAGGCGGAGTCGGACACCCACAGCGAGCCGGAGCCGGAGCCGGAGCACGAGCCAAACTCTGAGCCGGAGCCCAGCTCCGAGCCAGAGCCGACCAGCGAGCCGGAGCCTGAACACGAGCCAAGCTCGGAGCCAGAGCCCGAACACGAGCCAAACTCGGAGCCAGAGCCTGAACATGAGCCGTCCGCGGAGCCGGAGCCAGAACACGAGCCGGAGCCGGAGCCTAAATCGGAGCCGGAGCCGGAGCCATCGGCCAAGCGTAAGTTATCTGACAGTCTGAGGCCGTGAGGTACGATAAGCATACAGGGGTCCGTGATACATGTGTCGTTTGTTTTTCCATATGTTCATACGAGTCGTATGATCATGTGAAAGTCGAATAGTCTAAACACGCATTTTTTTGTCATCTATTCTGTACAACTGTGCAGGAGTCTGCTTCACGCCTCTGTGTGTGGTATTTCGTGATGTGAAATTAAGTCGCCATTAGTTTAGCCAGATTTTGCCTTAAATCAACACACGTTCACACTCCTCCCATCCCATCTCCAGCCGCCAAGAAGAAGAAGCCGGCGAGCACGGCCCGCGTGGGCTACTACCCCGGCGGCGACTTCCACGCCATGGACTGCACGGACATCGTGATCGGTGCTGCGCGCGGCGAGTTCGGCCGCGTGGGCGACTTCTACACGCGCGACCGGTCCACCCCGCGCGAGGATGAGTTCTGGGGCGGCAGCGGCAGCCTGACGGCCGCGCTGGCCTACGAGCAGGATGGTGTCACCACCGTGGCGTTCAGAAGGAAGATTGATGGTGAGAGGACGGGAGAGGGAGAAGGGAGGGAGAGGGTGGGGACTGGCGGAGAGGGAGATCGCCGGTAGGAAGTATCGGAGAATTGGTAGGCTTTGGTTAGTGTAGGATGTTTGCTAGGCTATCTGCTTTCTTCTGCTGAATCTTAGGTCATGCTCTAAGTGCCTGTCCACTGGATATTACTCATCACTGGTCTACCTGCTGCTTACGTTTATCGATATAATATTGTTATTTCTTTCTTCATTCTCCACTTTTTTCCGACAACTGACACGGTGTCTCCCCCATAGCCTCGGAGCCGACTGACCACACGATCGCCGACGAGCTGATGCACGTGATCTGGGCGCGCGGCCAGCAGTCTGGCGACTACATGCACCGACCCAAGTCTGGCCTGGAGGCCGGTAGCGCCTCGGTGCCCAACTTCTACCGTCCCGACGAGCTCAAGTACCACGGCCACGGCGGCCAGCGCGGCGTCTCCAGTATCTCATTCCTGGAGGGCGACGAGTCCGGCCAGGAGTTCAACCCGCAGGCGTACGATTTCTGCGGCGCCGAGTGGCGCTGGCCGCCCACCTGCGCCATGGACGCCGCCGACTGCGAGTACGCCGTCCGCTGGGAGCTGCTGGAGCCGAGCGACGAGATCCGCTTCACCGTGCAGAGCGCCTCCGATGACGTCTGGACGGGCGTGGCGTTCTCGCAGACGCCCAGTATGCCGGCCAGTGACGTGGTGCTGGGGTATGTGGTGGGCTCCGGCCGGCCCGTCGTGGTCGATGGATGGATGGCCGGCCATCTCCCACCCGTCAAGGACTCGCAGCAGAACCTGAAGAACATCACTGGATCGGTGCGTGACGGACGGCAGGAGATCTCGTTCGTCCGGCCGCGCCAGTCTAAAGACAGCAAGGTAAGAACGAGACGCTCGGAAGTCGGGGTAAACGCAAAACGGAATAAACATTACTGTCAGTAGGATCTTATGGTCGAGTATGAATGAAAAGGCGAGTCAGGATGAAGCAGATGTGGCCCCAATGAACTGTTAATTCGATTCTTGCAGCCTGTTACCACACGTCACGACCGTCTATCGTGTAACATTCCTTCTAAAAGTCCAATAATGCTCGGCCACTTTCCTTTCACGACCTATTCGTCGTAATTGAGCAAAGTCGCTCCAGACACGCCCTTCTTGCTCTCTTGATTATTGCGTCTCTCACCGCGGCATGACCAAGGTTTCGACCGATATCTCATGCTGACCTTGAATCGCTTCTCTTTCCGCAGGATCTCTCCTTCACCGAGGACGAGTGCCTGTACATGCTGTTCCCGATCAAGGGCGGCGCCTACCTGAAGAGGTCGAAGCGCTTCTCGAAGCACGTCCAGACCCCGATCGTGTCTGCTGAGAAGATCTGCATCAAGTCCTGTGGTAAGTACATGCCTGGAGACGGAAACAACTTTCTTGCGCGTCTATCGATCTTTTTTCTCAACCTCCGGGTTCATATCATTTTCAAAGTCTGTAACCATTTTCCCGGTCTGTTAGAAAGTTGATTTGCAAGTGTGATCGGTTTACGGGGCCGGGCTCGAGCGGCCGGCCCTCCTGACCGACACCGTCCCCGACCGGCTGCCCCGACCAGTCCGAGGTCAAGGTCAGGTCACGGGCCGACCTGCAGAGGCGCTCCACCGGGTCACTTGGGCGGCGCGTGGCGCGATTTATAAGTGAAGATCCCAAAGAAGACAGAACGGGAGGCCAATCGACTTGTCGAGATTGGCCGACTTGTGACGGTCGAGAAGTGAGGAATTCTTGACTCTGCAAGAGTGAAACGGAATGCTCAAAAGTTACAATGCTCAGAATCGAAAAGACTCTTATGCCTTGAACAGCTGCGATTTATCTCGTGCCTACATAGCAGATTGAGTCAGAGTCAAACATGCCAGCTGAGTGGTTTAAAAGTCGTGACTGTTGTGTAGATACTGGTTACTTGCACAGGCTTATCGCTTTTAGAGATGTAGCATTACTGGCTTTACCTCGTGACTAACAATCGTGCTAACTAACAACTGCACTATCAATGCCACGAAAACACTGCTGTTTTCTGAAGATGAAGAGTCGTGAAGACTTCGTCGCCGCAACAGACGGCGAAAGGATCATGTGCCCTGCATGGGTCGGTGGCGGCTGATTCAACTGGCAGTTAGCGGAGCATCTCAAGCGACGCGAGCTGATACCTCCCAAAGCGACTAGAGTAGTGACTCGCGGTGACGGCCTGTCCTTTCAGCGCGGCGCGCCGCTCCTCTGGTCAGCTCGTGCGGTCTCGGCTGTCGGTGGCTCGGTGGCGGACCTGGTCGGGGACGGTGCCGGTCGTGGTGGGCCGGCTGTCTCGCGGGGACGGGGTCCTTCCTGATCTGTCGTAGCTGCCGGACCGGTCGGCCGGCCCGGTCCCCGCACGTCCCCTCCGCTGTGCATCCGCGGTCTCCCGGTGCTTCTGCCCGTCTGTCTGTTTGTCTGTCTGTCTGCGCCGGCGGCCGGTAACCGCGCTCCGTTCCTTTGTCTCTATGTTACAGCTGCACCCCGACTCCAGCACCAGAGGAGCGAAGGAGCGGCCGGCGCTCTGCGACCCACCAGTGCCGCCGCCGCCCTCTGGGCCGCCGTCGTCCTCCTCGCGTTCGCTAGGCGTTAGCGGGACGCCTCGCTAGCCGGGCAGTGCTAGCCGAGTGATCTGCTAGCCGGTTGGAGCAGTACTGGCAGTTGTGTTGTAGCGTTTGGCCGATGGATAGCAAGGTCAATGGGTTGTGAGATTTCTAAGGAGCGAGAGGAGACGCGAGACGGCTCTGCTCTCGTCAAAGAACGGGCCTGACTACACAGTACCTATCCATTCTTACTCGTTATCATCGCATTCACGTACACGCGAACACGCACGCACGCAAAATCACGCACTTCTAATTGATGTGCTCATCAGATAGGACCAGAATCACGCATAATCGGAGGGCCAGAATCACGCATAATCGGTCCAGGGTTCGAGGAGCTCACGTGCGTCCGTTTGTATGCCTTTGTCACGCCAGTAGCCTCTCACGGAGTTGGCCCTGCTCGGGTGGGTCCCTCTCGTCTTTCTCGTCACACACGGGTATGTGCTAGCTTTGAAATCGGTGGCGGGGGTCCGATGTTACTCGTTCCGTCCTCTACTTTCAGAGTCCCGCTTTGTTTGTATGTCTGTCTGCTTGTCCGAAGTCATGCGGCTCGTAGCTTCCATGTTTCTCCATTGGATCCAAGATTGGATCATACGATGAGTGTGTATTTGTGGCGTATTGTCACCAGGTGCCATCTTAGTGGACCATGGAGGTGAGAATAGGGTTGGATGAGTTTTTGATAGTCTTATTTTGTCGCGACAGATGTCAGATATATTTTTTATTTGCGGCTTTTACGGGTGGCGGAGTCACATTTAGTTACCACGGCACTGTCTCGCGAAATGTATTCTCGTTTCTGCTCGTTTCTCTGCATACTCAGCCAGTAGTCAAGATTATTTACTTTTTTACTGCATCGCTTTTTAGTATTTAGTACAAATATGTTATCTGTATAGTGTAGATCGATGTATCGTCTCTGTACATACGGAAATATCGATATCTCCTGATCATTTTGTCTCCTATTCTAATCAAATATCGACACTAGATGTGCACATATCTTATTGGACGGTTCAAAACAAAGCTAATAATACGACGAAGAGAATGAGGGCGTGTTTCGGCGACATTGAATACGTGTCTTTCGCATAATCCGTCCTGTATTTGTGGCCATGTTTTACATTGGATGTCACTCACATGTGGAAATAAAGCTGCTTGAGGTATTTGTGGTGGTATCTGAATGGATTGACCTTGGTTGACCTGTTGTTCATGCATATCTGACGTGTTGTAGTCGTTTATTTTTCGCTCACAATATGACGACATCTCGAAAGGTTAGTTGTGCGCAATGTCGAAGCTATACCTACTGTTCGCGTTTTCTCTTCAAAGTTTATTTTTGTTTTTGTTTTTTATATTTTCTGCACCAGCTATGAACTATATGCACGCTGTCTGGTGGCCTGCTGGATCCTTTTTCCGATAAAAGCATCATTTTCTTATGCCTTAGGTACTGCTTTTGTTGATATGCGATGTTCAGTGTGCGCTAATTCAATTGCATTGTAATGATCATTTCTGCTTTCTGGCTACTTTTACGAGTATTTGACCTTTTAACAATCAACTGTACAAAGTCGCTGAGCCGGTATACTGTTCAAGTGTTCAGTACTCAACGTTTCGGAGCATCCGGGTACGACCATCGCACTTGCACTCAGATTCTCATAGATACTGCCCCTCACGGCGCGAACCTCGCGATACACGTAACCACAGTCACCCCGCACCCTCACTGACCTCCCTCTCCTCCCCTCCCACCCACAGCCAACGGAGCTCCCAAGCTGGGGAAGGACGGGAAGCCGCTGCCGCCGCCGCCGCCGCCCAATGTCGACTATGACGTCGAACTGAAGCTGCGAGGTCTGGTCGAACCGGCCGCCGTGCCCCAGCAGGGCTCGGAGGAGTTCAACATCCTCAGTGAGCGCATCAGGAACGACGTCATGTCGGTGCTGAAGACGGTGCCCGGGCTGAAGACCAGCTCCGTCAAGGTCACGGAGTTCAAGGAGTGAGTGCCGCGGTGGTGGGCTGGAAGGGGTTGGGTTTGTGGTTTGTGGTGGGTGGGCGGGTGGGTGGAAGAGGGAGTAGATGTGTAGAACGATTGCTGACTGACTCAGCTACTGTCGGTTTTTAAATGATGTTTGCACTATTAAATTTACTTATCTACACTACATGTAAATGCTGGAACTTTTACCAATTGATAATCAAAGGGGCCTTTGATTCCGCACCCGCTATATAAAACACAGCTATTCTTCGGTCACTCGACCTGTCCTGACCTCTTCTAACCCCGTAGCAACTCACTGACCCCACCTGACCTGACATACCCCCCCCCCCCCCTCCCGCAGTGACGGCGGCGACGTGGTGGCCAAGATGAGCCTCCAAGTCGACCGTAAGCGGATGGACCGCGAGCTGAAGCGGGTCGAGGAGACCGAGGAGCAGGCGGTGACGCTAGAGCGTGTGCTCAGCGAGTCGGTGGCCACCGGTATGGTGGGCAACCTGCAGGTCAACCCGCAGTACCTGGTCGTCCAGCCAAGGAAAGGTGAGGTCGAGTAGTGGCTGCGGTTGATCGAGGTATCAAAGGATTTTGTTTGAGGTTTCCGTTTTAACTGCCCCTACTTTTCGCAGTGGGTATCTGACCTAAGTGTCCGAAGTTGTAAGATAACGTAAGATGAACCTTTATTTTCCACAGTATATCCCGGTCTCAACTCCTTACTTGCCCTCTGTCGATCGGTGTCCTGTGGAGGGTCAGATCAATGATCTCGTACATGATCTGAACCAATACCGATCGCCAAAATTGCTTACGAGTTTCAAGAATCAAGCATAGCTGTTTCGTTGAAAGCTTATTTCTGCACAACTTATCAGTAGCCACCATGGATCACATCTCTAACTCTTCGTTTCCCTTCTCTCACTCACAGCCCGCAGTCTGGAGGCGAGCGGCCCGATCACCCAGGAGCAGTGGGATGCCGAGGCCGTCAAGCTGTACATCATTCTGGCGGCGGTGGCGGCGCTGATCCTCCTGGCCATTATCCAGGCGGCCTGCACCCTGGCCAGGAACCGCCGCGCCGCGCCGGCCGCCCGCCAGCCCAAACCCACGGCCAAGGTGAGAGGAATAGGGAGGATGGGGGAAAGGGGAGATGATGTGGGTTGACCGGGGTGGTAACTGGTAGGTGGCGAGGTGGGAATGAGATCTGAGGTGGCCAGGCATCGCCTCTTGAAGGAGAGTGACATATATGGAGGTTTCTTAGATCCGATATTGATGCGTCATGATCATTAGGGAAGGCCTGGATGAAATGGCTTTACGTACCCGTCCCTCATCATGGGTTGAGGGGAATATGGGAAAGGCGATAAAAGGGCGTCTCCTTCATCTGTCTGTCTGTCACAAGCTATTCTGCTTATCGGCTACTTTTGCCATTTGCCTTGTTTCGTATTTCGCCTTCTCTCGCTACATCATTTATCAAACACGCCCAGCTGTGTCGAACTTGCGTGCTTACATCTCAAACCATTGCAAGAAACGCAGCTCCCCTGCCTTCCAGTCACATCAGCGCATCTTGTCTCGCTCTCTTTCTTAGGTTTCCGGTCAGTCCTACATGTTTTTCTAGGCTCTCTCGCGCTGTGAGTACGTTGTTTCATCGTCACATTTTTGCACCGCTTCGTAGCATGCAGATCGCGCACCAGCTGCTGTTAGGGTTAGAAATATCACTGGATGGTAGGGACGGACGGGCGCATGAGAACCCTGGTTGTGGCGAGCGTGGCTAGACCACAGGCAGGCGCGGGCTCAGAGCACTCGGCAGGCGGCTCGCACATCACCGTCACATGGCTTGGTAGTGTGTCGTCATTATTTTTGTTAGTGAGTCAGGTTGAGGTGTGCAACTGTTTCCAGGGACTTGTGTACGTGTGTGGTCAGCAGTGAAAAGTTCGATTTAATAGAATCCATTTATCTGAATCATTTGATAATGATTGCCCTCGTGATTTGTCTTTTAAATGCATCAACGCACGTCTATAAAATGCATTTCCTACCGTTTAGCTAGAGGAATGTTCTTACGAAGTTATCGTAACGTCCTTATCATTGACTGTCGCTGTCCGTTGTCCGCTGTTATTTCCTCTAAAATTCAGTTCAATTCTATCAATACCCTCTCACTCGGCCCCGCCCCAGCCTACCGATTCATCCCATCCTACCTCTGCCACCTCTTTCCTCCCCGCGCCACCGACCCTGCGATCCCCTGCCCCCCGTCCCTTCTCTGCTTTCCCACTGACCTCCCATCCCCTTCTAGCCCTCCTATTTACCTTCCGTCCCCTTCCGACCCTCCCACTGGTCCCTCGCTCCCCTGCTAACCCTCCACCGCTGCCACCGCAGGACAAGCTCATCACCAACTCGGCCTGGCGTGACATGGCGGCTCACAGCAACTACGGTTACGAGAGTTACGAGGCGGACGCGGCCACCAACGGGCGGCCGTCCAAGGGGGGCCGCGGCGCGCCGGCGACCGCCCACGCGCCCTCGCCGCCCCAGATGGTGGAGACGCGCTCGCTGCAGCGGCCGCGCTCTGGGCCGCCGCCGGGCGGCGACCGGTCCACCTACAGCCTGCCGCGGCCAGGCAGCCAGTTCTCGGCGGCCACCTACCACCCGTCGGGCGAGCGGCGCTCGGCCACGCTGCAGCGCGGCGCCGGCGGCCCAGAGGCGGCGCCCGACTTCTACTTTATGCCCAGCCAGCGAAAGTATTCCGGGGAGGTGGTCAGGGTGTATGTGGACTATAGCAAGCAGCAGTGAGCAGAGGATATAGGGTAGAGGAGTGCTTGGAGTGGAACCGGTCCAGACCCGCTGTGAGAAGTATTTTGGGTCAGAGAGACGCTCGCTCGGGTGAAATGGGCAGTTAGAGCTATTGACTCTGTGGAATCTTTAGGCACCCCAGCGAGGACTTGTTTCTCGCTAAGGGAATCTGCGACGACCAGTGATGTGAACTGACAATCGGAGCCTGCCAAAGCGCACTCCTGGACCCCTGGCGGCGGTCTGTCGAAACTGTCATTCAGCCAGGTCCGCTGGTGGCGAAGGCACCAGAAAACTCACCCTCTGGTGGCTCCTGGGCCCGTCAAGCCGCCATCATCTACGCTGTCCCGTATGTGAACCTGTCGAAGAAAGAGGAGGGTTTATCCCTTCTCAGTTTTCGCCCACCAGCGTCGCAGCTGCTCAATGGAGACGCTGACCCGGACCAAAGCGTCCGTACCCGACTCCGTCCTTGTGTTAGCGGGAGAGAACTGATCGGACTCCCGCTGCCCCTCGTGGTCGTGTATGTAGAGTGGATAACGCGCGTGGAAAAATCTTATCATGAGCGTGAGCGGTACTGATTGGACTGTTGTGCATCATTCGTAAATGTATTTGTGAATCTCTGACTGCGTTCGTTGATGTGCCGCGATGATACCTGGCTGGCTGATACTATATGATACTTGATACTGTTTCGTTTAGTGCGAGATATATCATGGATTTTGCGACGTGTGGCGGTGTACTCAGTCTGACATTGTGTAAGTTCTCATCGTGACCGTTTCATCTGATGTGACTCGATTTGTCGTGAGGGACTATGGCCGGGAGTTTTGCAAGGCGTTGTGATGGCGCCTTTCTGTATCAAGCCCGACTGGGCGTTTTTCGTCCTCTCACGGCGCTATGAAGACAACGCTTCGTCGTTGTTTTGACTGAATAAACTAAGTAAGGACTCAGGACGCGTTTCCTGGTTTGCATGTTCGAGCCTGCATTGTTGTTGAATTTTCCTGGTAGGTCACTTCCAGGAACGAAGCCATTACGTAAGCCAGCGTTTGGAGAAATGTTTCAAAACATATGCAGTTACTGGAGCGAGTAACTCGCACGGTCTTGTCCCCCACCTGGCGAGCAGAGCTAGCGACTACCCACCCCGCTGGAGACACACCTCATGAACAGACGATAAAAAACACGTTTAATACTTATATTTACACAACAACGCCACAAAACAGATCAATGGCGTCTTTAGTAACGGAGGCTATCATCACCAAGCCCACCTAAATACGCACTCGCCACAGGAAAAATGTCAAGCCAAGTAAAGGCGCGCTGAAATCACATGTTCAGCAACCCTCACGGACCGCGGAGGCCGGGAGCGGAGCGTGCGGGCGGGACACACTATTTAGCACCTCGGGCCCCGTCACCAGACACCCGGGTCCGGCAGCGTTCGGCGTACAGCAAAGCCAATCAAAATCACCCACACGCAAACATATTGGCCGCACGATACGGCTGTGCCGGCCCTCAACCAGACATCCAACCAATCCTGTCCACAACTAACATCGTCCATGACAAATAACGTGAAATACCGACATCGCATCCCCACGCTTCACACATTCAACCAACAAGAGACACCGCATCATGAAACGCACATCACACGTCATAATTCATCACACCACAGCTTTCTCCAGTGAGCGACGAGGGTCTGGCCCGCACACACGCGTGAGACGCGGTGCACGGCCCTCACTCCTCGTTCATCTCTTTGTACCTGGCGAACATGGTCTTCTTGACACAGTCCTTGTACGTGTCGCCGGCCACGGCGCCGGTGGTGCTGCCCGCCATGCCGAGGCCGGCCGAGGTGGCGCGCCGCTCCGCCTGTCGACAGCACAGTCCACACCGTTCAGCAGCTATCACATCATGTCGACAAGATCCGACCGCGCGGGCGGAGCCGGGGGTCCGGGGAGGCGGAGGATCGGAGACCGGCGGAGTGGGTGGAGTCGAAGGTAACGAGCAGATGGATGGACGGACGGCAGAGGTCTGTCACGAGACAGCCGGTGTGCTACACCCCGCCGACTACCGGCCGACCGACGAACCTCGGGACCACAGACAGTAGAGCATGCGCAGCGACCGCCCACCGCGGTGGGACGGACGCCGCTCAACGCGACGGCGGGCTTACCTCCACCAGGCTGGTGCGGCCCTGGTTGCTCTTGCCCAGGCCCTGGCCGTCCTTCCAGCCCATGGCCTGCATCATCCGGTTTCCGATGCCGCCGACGGGCCGGGCCGGCGCCGAGGCGGTGGCGGCGGCCGGCGGCGGCGGTCCGGCCGGCCGGTGCGGCGCGCGCGGCGCCTGGTTCGGCTCGCCGTACTTGCTGCGCCGCTCGGCGGCCCGGTCTCTGTACTGGCCGCCGCCGGCCGGGGCGCCGCCCTGAGCGCGCTGGTGCTCCTCCAGGTTTTTCCGGTGAAGGTCGGACTTTTCCAGGTGTTTGTTGAGCTGCTCGCGGCTGGCGAACGCCCGTTTGCAGAGCAGACAGGCGAGTTTGTTGACGTCCACCAGGGTGGGGTCCAGCTCGGGCGCTTCCTCCTCGTCTCCGCTCTCACCGCCGTACGCCGCCACCAGACTCGACTGGGGACAGACAAGAGGGACTTAGTTATAGCACACAGCCAGGCTGCAGACTTGACTGGGAAAAGACACAGCGATGCTGTTATGGAAGACAGAGGGCTATCACACGCGACTGAGCATGGGGGAAAAGGAAGACTGAGGACAGCTGACGTGATCATAGAAAGCAGACAGCGCCAGACACGGCAGAGGACAGGCACGCAGAGACAGCTTGAGCAGGCAGACCACCTCCAAACTCCAACATCGTCAATCCAGTCAATCCTCCCGAAGTCCCAACTCCCGCCCTCTCGCCACTCACATTGGCCGCCGCCTCTGCCTCCGCTCCCGCCGCCGTCTGCGGTGTGCTTTCTCCTCCCACTCTCTTCTCGAACATGGCGTATCCGATGTCAGCCGAGCGGGCGTCTCGCGCGGCCCGCTCCTGCGCCGTGCCGCCGATCGGGATGATGGGAGAGGCGGTGGCGCGTGCTTCCTTCCGCTTCATCGACTTGGCCCACCGTTCCATGTCCTGTCGAAGGATAGGAGGGAGAGTGTCAGTGGTCAGGTAGGGTGGTGGGGCAGTCAGGGAGAGGCGTTTCGGCGCTGGGCAGGTCGGTGCAGGACAATGAACATCGAACAATGAGGGACAGTAGACAAAAATAACAATGTAATTACGGTAAATGCACGCAGTTGAAATGGCAACCAACACATGTTCCAACTTTCACAAACTATGAACCAATCATCAAGGATTGCTTACCTTGGCAATCTTCTTGGCCACCTTGACCTTTTCATGTTTATCCTCCTTCTTCTTGCCGCTGCCGCCGGCTCCGGACGCCTCGCCATCGGTCGGCATTGGCACGTATTTGGACTTGGCTGCGTCCCAGTAGAGGTAGCGCTGGTTGGCCGGGTTGTAAAAGTACTGGCTGTTGGCGTCGTAGTAGAGTGACGTAGTGGCGTCGTAGTAGTAGCCCGACGTCTCGTCGTACTGGAACGAGGCCGTGTCCGGCGTGGCTGCGGTGGGAAGAACGGAGGGGTGTTAAATAGGATAGTTCGGTAACAATTGTGGAAATAGCCGGTAGTTGACTGTGTGTAGACAGCCAATAATGGCATTATGTTTAAGATGAAAGTAACAGAATTAAGAAACATATAGACACGAGTGACCGTTTTAGAAGAATCGAGCAATAATTACCGTTAGTCAAGTCGACCCATCACACTTTTCAACACCATGGCAGTGACGTGTTTTGTTACAAATCTCTATCCAGGCCCTGACAGGCCAGTCTGCCATCACCACTCACGATAGGTGGCGTCCTCATCAAACGGAGCCGCCGGCGCCGCCTGGGGCTGCGGCTGGGGCGCCGCTGCCGGTGCGGTCGGCTGCTCGCGCGCTCCGGGCACCTTCTTCTGCACCCGCTGCAGGGCCGTCTGCGCCACGGCGGCCGCCGCGTTGGCAGAGTCTGACTGGCTTTGGTCGCTGCTGGGCGCCGCGCCGGTGCCCTACGGAGGGTGGAGGTTGGGTTAAGATCAGCCGGAGAGGTTATTCCAGGAAGGCAACACACAGACAATGAAGAGACGGCAGATACCCTGACCCATTATTGGCGAGACGTTACACTTGGTCATTCAAAATGAACTGTTGTCAACTCACCGATCGCAACTAACTTATCGATCAAACTAATACTGATCAGCCAAACATATCACAACACTCTCTCGGCGGCTAGTCCGGCGTTCGACTCACATGTGTCTTGTAGTAGTCCTCGTAGTACTTGAGGTAAGCCTCGTACTCCTCTGGCGTTTTGGCGTACAGTTTGGCCGAGTACTCAGCCAGCTCGAGGATGCTCATGCGGCTGGTATCGACGGGCAGCTGTCCGGCGGCCTGGTCGGCCAGTCGGCAGTAGCTCACCACCGCCGAGCGTCCCTCGACCACCAGCGGCTCGGCCTGCAGCTGCTGGTTCAGCTGCATGGCGTCCACCACAGAGGCCAGCTCCAGGTAACAGATGCCGCGCGACGCGCCCGTCACCGGCTCGCGGCCCAGCCGCACCGAGCGGATCGGCAGCTGAGTGCGCTGCTGGAGGCCGGACAGCACCGTCTCCTCGGAGCTGAGCGGGTCCAGGCCGCGCAGCAGCAGCGTGTTGGTCGGGTGCGGGGAGACCTCGTCACTGCCCTCGGCCGCAGCCTCCGACTCGGCACGGTCCGAGCCGCACTTGTAGCACTGGCAGCGGCGCTTGAAGTTGTGCGCGCCGCACTGCCACGGGTGGAAAGGAGCGGAGTTAGAGAGACTGACACCCGGCTATAATTCGACACACCAGAGTCATACAACATTAGCTGACGCAGAAACGACTGGATGGAGAAACCTTTACTTCGAGCACGTTATTTACGAATGTTATACGAAACCCAGCCGAAAATTCGCAGTTCGATTCACACAATCACAGCTGAGGCAAATAATGATGCTGAGCATTTGACGCAGGGACCTGAACTGCACACTTTAAAACATCCCAACACTCCGGTGCCCTCATATTGGTCCCATCGGCGCCTCGTGCCCACCTTGACGCAGAACCAGTCCTGGAGAGGTCGGTGTTCAGCCGGCAGACCGTCCTTGGGCAGGCTGTACTGCATGACGGCGCGGTACTGGTCCTGTACCACCAGCAGTCCCTGAAACACCGCACCCGGCACCGGTCAGCGGCGGCGGCGGCGGCGGGCTCCTCCGCTCTCCCCGGATCCGGCGCAGCATGCAGTACGTTACGGGCGACACGCCCACAAGAGCGCGCGCGCGCGAGCACCACACCCGCGCAGGAGCGCGCACTCGGGCTGCCCGTCGGCCGAGCCGCCTGTTTGTCTGTCTGTCTGCGATCGCAGCTGTCACGGCAGCGCGGGTACCCGTCCGAGAGACTGCGCACACATTGGAGAGACTCCCGCGGCGGCAACCATAGAACCAGCGCGCTAACTTTGAGTGAGTGCTCGGGCGAGATGGATACAGAGAGTGGAGATATAGATATTAGATACAGAGGTCAGGAATCAGGAGATGACGGAAAGCTAGACTCAAAGAAGTCGCGGAGGGGAAGACGGCCACTATTGCAGAGAATAAAGTGAAAAGATTAATGTAAAGCATTGCCATTATATCATAAGAGAAGCAAAATATTTGATAAAATAGAAGGATGAGGAAAGATGGGGTGGAGAGAGAGAGAGAGAGAGAGAGAGAGAGAGAGAGAGAGAGAGAGAGAGAGAGAGAGAGAGAGAGAGAGAGAGAGAGAGAGCCGTTGTTGGTGTCCGGACGTGGGCAGAGCAGTGGGCAGAAGGCGACATGACGTGTCGGTATCAGTACATCTACAAGAGTATTCTGTCTGTCTGTCTCTCTCTGTAAAGTCCCTGATGGCGCAGCGGTCGGTCGGCGGGCTGGGCGGGCTCGCGCGCGCGCGCCAGTCCGGGCCGGACCCGCGCGCGGGCCCGCCGGCCCGCCCCCGATCCCTGAGCCGTCGGCCAGAGTGGCTGACTGGGTACTGAGTGAGCTGACTGACGGGCACTGGGCGGTCTCTCTACACTGAAGCTGAGCAGAGCTGAACGGTTACTGAGAGCTGATTGTGACATACTGTCGTTGGTGTCGGCGCGGGCGGCCGGCCGGTGCCGCCTCGGCCCTCGGGGGCTGGCGGATACCTGTTTGAGTTCCATCCAGCGAGCTGCCTCCTGCACTGTGCTAAACTCGACGAAAGCAAAACCCCGCGATGCACCTGAGTAGCGACCAACAGGAGCACGTGTTAACATGGTGCGACACGGCGGTGAACACAGCGGCGACACGGGCGGCGCCTCCGGCCGGCGGCGGCGGGCGGACGGCGGCGGCGGCAGTGGGGCGGGCGGGGCGGTCGGATGTTCAAAATTCTGGCAGAATAATAGTCAAAATGGTTAACAAGTAACATAGCATCACGCAGGCATGACGAATGTCGACAAAAATCAACGATGAAAATATGTTGAGCTTGAAATTTCTTCAATAATTTCCAGCGAAATTGTGAACTACATCCCATGTTGAAGGCCGTCTGGCACGGAATCAACGCCGCAGGGCTTTGCCGAAGATGAATGACCGATGAAAATGAGAAACATTGCAGCCGTTGGAAAGCAGTCCTTCAGAACGTTGAGATGTAAGTGAGCGCATTTCGCGCTTCATCTCCAAGTACGAACCATTCAAACCTAGAAGATCTTTAGATACACAACAAAAGTAGCCGTTTACATTGAAAGCCTGCCGAGGCCGGAAATGAATAATAAACGGCATGACGGTTTGATCTTGTCAAATCCTCTTGAATAGTTAGCCGAAATGCCTTCCAAGGCGACTCTCAATAGATAAATGAAGTTTTCTCTGTCCGGCATGTTTCAATATGTACAAATGGTTGGACATGTGGGAAATCACTGGTTCAAAACGAAACAACATTAGTCTACAACTGATCTACCAATCGCAGTTATGAACTATTCTACATACAGATACAACACAACAAAAAAAGGCTATAATCATTTGACAATCATCATACAAAGTACAACACGGTAACTCAGTAAATCCATTCAGTACACGATATGACAATGGCATCAACCGTCAATCATTAGTTCACATCTACATTTTCTACAAACAAAGTCATGTATCAATGTTACGTCTCAAGTTAATCACAAAGTACGACACACAGCTGCTATTTAATCCAGCTGCTATTTAATCCCACAACTCAAAAACACTTACCGTCAGATTTACCCCAGCACACTGAAACAAGAAACGTTAGGGTGCGCCTGTTCCTTTTCAGGCCAAACAGCTGGCCTCTTTCAGGGGGCTGTTGGGGAGGGTGTGAGTCGCCCGCCGCCGCCCGCCGCCGGCCGCCGGGAGGACCGTCCGCGCCGCGCGCACCGGGAGAGCCTCAGCTCGCCACGCGGTGACGAAGGGAGGGGACACGGCGTCTGTGAGTGGCCGGAGGGAGAGCCGCCTCACACAGACCGGTGGCAGAGAGAGAGAAAGATAGAGAGGCGCGCGGCGGGCAGAGAGACGACGGTAGCAGAGACGACCACTGCGATCGGGCCGCGGGCGCGCACTCACCAGAGTCCTTCTTTCGGATCAGACGGATGTCCTTCGGTGTCAGGTTGACGTTCAGGATCTCTTGCCGGATCTGAAACACGAAGATGATTGCACTGTGAGAAAAACAGTATCAAACAGCAGCCAACTGAAAAAGCAAAGGCGTTCGACAGTAACCAGCAAACTCATCCATCCAAAAGTATTGGTCGCCTGTATTGACAATCAGTGAAAATCAGTAGAGCAGGCACGAAAGATTCTCCCGCCGTCTTCCCGCATCACCACCAAAGACTGATACAGTTACTAGCCCAACTCTGCCCTAACACCCATTCTCCCTATCGTCTCCCTGCCGACGACTCACGTCATTTTCGGTGACATGCTGCGCCAGTCCGCGGATCATGACGGTGTTGTTGGGCTGCTGACTGCGGAAGAGCAGCTCGGGTGCAGCGGCCGCCTCCTGCTGGAGCTGCGCCGCCGCCGCCAGGTTCATGTTGATCAGGGTGGCTGTGTCCAGAGGGGTGGGCGCCGGCAGGATGGGCGCCATGAACGGCTGCGGCATCAGGCTGCCGGAGCAAGGCAACCGGAGAGGTGTCAGTCATTGGGTGGAATTGGGGCGGAGGGATTTGCGCTTACGGTGATGGTGCTATTGATTTGCAATTGGATGCTTTTACATGCAATCTTTCATAGATCAATATGAATTTGTGCCGCACACAGATGGTAGGCAATCAGAGGTGCCAGAGAAATTAAATAATTAAAAATGTACTGAATCATTTAACTATAAGCAAGCTACAACACCATACGCATGAAAGGTCATTACTGGCATGCCCCCGGCATCCCGGCTAACGCCACTCACTTAGGCATGAAGAGCTGCTGCTGGGCATTACTGACAGCCACAGCGTGCGCGGCAGCTGCGGCCGCTGCGTGGTGCTGCGCCAGCTGCAGCTGCCGCTCGTGCTCGAGCTCGCGCGGGTCCGGCTCCATGTCCCAGACGCGCGGCGGCGGCGGCGGCCGCGGCTCGTCCCAGTCGCGGTCCTCGCGGTCCCGCGAGCGCGGCCGGTCGCGGTCCCGGTCCCGGGAGCGGTCTCGGCTGCTGCGCGGCTCCCGCCGGGACATGGACACAGTGCGCCGCTCACTGACAGGAGGACGGGGAGAGAGGGACCGGAGAGAGGTCAGATATAAGGTGGCCCGCCGAATACCAGCTCGGAGACCGGTGTGACGAGCATCACCCAAACGTGACGTTCATTTCAGGTTACAGAGAGACGATCTTGATCACAAAATACTCTGCAGAATCCACCAATACATAGATAAGGCATACTGCATATCCAAGCTAAGCTGTAGCATGGAATATTACGCATACACGTACACGTACAGCCCATACATTTCACCAAACACCCTGGACTTGCCCCACACCCCGCGGTGTTCCCTGCAGCATCATATGACTCCCATAGCGGGGGCCCAGGACCGACCTGTACTCGTACTCATCATCGTCGCGGTCCCTGCTGCGCCGTTCGCGATGGTCGCGCCGGTCGCGGTGGTCGCGACGGTCCGAGTCGCGGTGCCGGTGACGGCGATCACTGCGGAGGGGACGCAGGTGGCCGCAGGTAAGACAGGAGACGGTACACGTCTATTTATCAGGCACAGCTAACGTAGACCATACGATGTAGAAGACATACCACTCGCACATCACCGACAATGATAAACTACACACCGGGGCGCCAATGAACTTGCAAGTGCCCAAAGCCAAGCATCACATCATCACTCCCAAACAACATTCTGTGTGATGAGACACTAATTCCCCTCTAGTAGCAATCGAGCCCAGACTAAGCGATTCGCGGCACCCCACGGCCAGCGGCGCACTCACTAGTCGCGGTCGTCCTGCGCGCCGCGGTAGCCCTGGTCGTGCGGCACGTACTGCGGCAGCCGCATCCCCATGTTGAAGATGGGGATCATGATGAGCTCTGCTGGGTTCTCTGGGTTCGGCACCAGCTGAAAAAGAGTGGTTGAGACCGGTCACTTCCCGCTGAATGGACGTATAGAGTGCCAATAGAAACGCCCGACAGAGTGCCCGAGCTTCCGCGGTGGAGACGACCCAAACAACACAGCACGTGCAAGCTATGTACTGCCACGAGACGAGACGACACGCGACGAAAATAAAGATATACTGAGAGAATCAGTAACAACCATAGCAAAAGTGAAACAAGCTGAAACCCAACCCTTGACACCGACAAAGCATTCATAAGCAAATCGACTGGCACGAGCAAATTGGCTGCTATAAGCTAAAGCTACAAAATAAAGAGAACAAACATAACTGCCAAAACAATGCAAGCTTACAGATTGTTAGTAACTGCTTAGTGTAGGTCAGACAAGGCAACTGTGAAATATTAGTGATGCAATGTAGCTAATATATATGACTGGTACATGTTTTTATCATCCATTCACAGCCAGATCTCTATAGCACGGTGAGTGATCACCCTCGCGCCGACAACCCTGGCTGGTACCTGAACGCCTGGTGGGGATGGCAGAGAAGCCAATGGATTCACTTCACCAATCTGAAGTGCGTCCACAAAAGGTCTGAAAGAAAATATTGAACATCATGTTCGATCCTCTGCCACTTACCTGGGCACCCATGCACTCATGGAGGTTAGTCTGGTCATGCTGCACATGCCATGCTTCAGTCATGGACAAAGAGCACTAGCACAATAGCACCCCAGTACACTGCTGTAACAGCAAGTCATAGTAATAGATCTACTGACTAAAGCATTGACCTTGTTCAACACCTGTGATATTTGAATAGTCATTGAATCTTCTTCACAAATGTGATATATGTATTGAGCCAGCATCTGTCTTTTTATGCTACTATGCTATGTCAAATGATTCTAGCCAACACTATTCAACTTCAAAAAGCATGCTTTTGCAGTTATACCTGTTGAAAATATGCATAGTTCAAGTGGCTTCTCAATGAGTGAAACAAATGAAAGGAGCAAATAATTGTCTTAACCCATTAGCCCAAATATAAATCGAAAGAATATATGAGATATATTGCACTGAAAAGGCTAGAGGATCCACATGATCCCATCTATTAAAAGGGCAAACACACATTTTGAAAATATTTTCACTTAATTTTTCAACATTAACCTTTCTGACTCAATACATTAGCAGAATATAACATACACGTCTTCACAAGCAGTGCTTAGGAAGAGGTATTGAACATATCTATAAAAAAAAAACAATCAGTGCATCAGCTGGGCTGAGAAAGGATAACAGACAACATATCAGATAGCATTCATACATGCAGATTTGCCAGGCTTGTGGCAGTTGACAGTTGACACTGCTGAAAAAGGCATGCAGAAAGGTTTGTTGGTGAACTAGGTACCTACACTTGAAGTAAGCAACAGCTAAACACAATAAAACAAACTCAACATGAAAGCATTCAAAGGCAAATAGACAAAACAAGAGATGCCAAAATGAATAGCAGAGAGCAGTGAAAGCACTTAATGTAGGGTCCAAATCTACCCATAGCATAGCATAAATCAATATATACAACTAGTAACTACCTATGCATTAGGCAAGAATATGCAGGATGAGGAGCAGAATGGAGAACATTTTCAAGCACAGTAGACTTGCACTGTGTTCAAATAGCACTGAAGGCATGCAATTAGTTAAGCTTTCTTGTATATCACTTTCATCAAATCCAAAGCAGCCAGTAATCAGAAAAACAAATGTAAAAAACTAGTTGCCTTACATATACAACTTAGAGAAAGGGACTGTAACTTCTCTAGAAGCAGAGTTTCTTATATCATCATGTGATGTAATGGTTATTAAACAGATTTCATGTAAATCACACATACATTGTAAAGAGGTCTGCTGAGTTTCTGGGCCCAGATAGAAAAGCTACCAGGCAAGATGATCAGGTCACAGGTGACCAGGTTACCAGATGAGCAGATGCCATGTGAGATTTGCTGTCATAGCACCTTGATCTTTATCAAGCAAAGCTGCAAAGTTGCTGCTAGTGAAAATTGGTGCCTACATAAAAATATACCAAACAAATCTCCTTCATAAATTTCTTTCTTGAAAGCAGTTGCATAGAAATGGAGGTAACTGAAGAATTGCCTAGCACTTGTGGCATTAGTAGATCAGACGTCACACAAAGGTTTTCGAACCAAGGAGATGCTGTAGGCTTGTAGGTTGTAGGCTTGCAGGTTGTATGATTGTAGATTATAGGTTTTTAGGTTGTAGGTTGTAGGTTGTAGGCTGGGTTAGGTTAGGTCAGGTTAGATTAGGTTTGTTTTGGTTTGGTTAGAAAGAAGCATCTCTGGTTATGGCACCTCTCCTTGGTTACAAAACCTTGGTGTGACATCTGCTCTACTAGTACCACATTTTTAAGTCTATCCAATGTGCCAAAAACAACTAAGGTGAACAGAAAAGCAAGAATCATTTCATGGATATACCTATGGGCTATGGGCGTACTTTTCATCATTACCTATTTTCCTTATTTACAAATGGGTAGCTTATTTTAAAAATCAAACATATTTTATCTAATCTAATGATGCCATCTAATGATGCCATCAGTTTGTAGGCCATCATTATGAGTTGACATATGGAAACAGGCATTAGTAGAGCAGACGTCACACAAAGGTTTTCCAACCAAGGAGAGGCGTTGTAGGTTTGTAGGTTGTAGGGTAGGTTTGTAGGTTTTTAGGTCGTAGGTTTTTATTGTAGGTTTGTAGGTTGTAGGTTGTAGGCTAGGTTAGGTCAGGTTAGGTTAGGTTTCTTTAGGTTTTGTTAGAAAGAAGTATCTCCAGGCATAGCGCCTCTCCTTGGTTGGAAAACCTTCGTGTGATGTCTGCTCTACTAATACCTGGAAACAGCTGCAGCATGAAGATTAAATGAGCCTAAGGACAACATAAAAACTAAAAAGCCTGTAACACTAACATCCATTACATGCATTTGAACCATTTTCCACAACAATCATCAGCAGATTTTAGGTATGCTGATGAATGACTAGATAAAGGTGAAAGCATCTTTCCTTACCTATTTATTTGATATGACATTCACGCCAGTGGCACAGTGATGAGTGCCAAAAACTCCACCTTCAGCCTTGAAAGAAATCGACCACAAATGGCGCGATATAACTCATCAACGATACGTGAGCAGGGTGCTCCAAGTGAGAGCTATTGGACGATTTGAGAGTTCACCACAAAAACAAGATAGGAATAAGTCAAAATCCTTAACAAAACTCAAGAAAATCCTTTTTATCGCGCTAACTCCAATCCCTCAGAATCGCCACGCTCGCCACTCAGCGAACACAAACATGGCGGACAGGAAAACCGTGAATCCTCCACAAAAATATTTTGATTTTGCTTTGATGTCTTATCAAAATTGATTTTCAAGAATAAACAAAATTGTATTTATCAACACTGCTATAGTTTCAGAAGCCAAATTTGGTAAAAATAAAAAATAAATGCGGACGAAAATATTTTCTGAAGAAATGCCATAGCTAAATTAATAAGTTGTTGCGTTGAAACCAAGGCTATATAAAGTTGAAACCATGCCTATAAGGGGCGACGTCATACTCATATTCCGTCGGCACCAGGACCCCAGCCCTCGTGTGCGGGCCTGATAGCCTCAGGATCCCAGTCGCTGACAAAATTCCTCTCAAAACAGAGAAATACCTAAGCGGAGTAACATGACGTGGTGCCAGCCCTAGTGTCCGCCTCCAGAGCCTCCAGAATCCAGATCCACTGGCCTAGGCTACACCGTGGCCAAAATTGCTATTGAAGCATATTTCGAGTGACTATATCGCTATTCGAAAATAATGAAAACGACATATTATAAAACTGAAGACAGCACGAGACTCGCCGTCAGTGCAGCCGCAACACCTGCGCTCGACTACGTACTGCGCAGGCAAATTAGACGATGCCCTTTCTCACTTCTCATGTTTACTCCTGCGAATAAGTTCATAGTGCGAACGCTAAAAAGAAAACGAGAATAACGAATGAAAATATAGATCGCAAGGTCAGTATATATTGCACTATCACATGTACCTAATACCGGTCATGACCACTACCAATTTCATTCATGATTCAGCTAACGCTAGGAAAAAGTACTGGAGCAGCCTTCTCGTTTTAGGGCGGAAGGTATAAACTGGACAATGACCACCGACAATCAATGATAAACTGTTATTACTCAGTGACCACTGGTCACACTGACCGGACTGCACTTTACTGCACCAACCACATGGCGATCACAGTAGCTGCTGCAGCTGGGTTAACAACAGATCAACATCAGACACCCTTCCATAGTACAGTTTACAAAGTTACCACACTACCACCGTCAACGACAATTGATGCCAAATCAGCAACACATCGGCATCACAAGTTCACAGTATCCCGACCCGTTATAGCCCCATGGCATCGATACCTATCGCCGACCGTCGCTCCATCCCAGCCCGGCACTCAGAGCCAGGAGTTCCTGATCAGAACTGGAGCTCCCGGTCGGCGGGCAGCGGGGCAAAGTAGCGGTCCACAATGTCGGCCGGTACCTCCGCCACGGTGGCCGGCTTCCACACAGGGCTCTGGTCCTTATCCACCAGCACCGCCCGCACGCCTGTGGGCAGAGAAAGACCAGTCAGACGGGGTCACGGCGGCCAACGCGAAGGAGGGAAATGGCACCCAATGCACATACATCGGAGAGCAAAGAACGGTTCAGCATCGGCCGGGCTAAGGAAGACTAAAAGTCGGCAAATAAGCGAATGAGGTATATTTGAGAAAATTCACATAACATTTTATCCTACTCCATTGAACTCATCATATGTAACTCATTATGTGCCAACTTTGATAAGATGTCTACCCCTTACGTCCATCCTTGAAATGATCGCCCATGTCATGTTGTTCTCCAGCCTCGCAAAACCCACCCACTACTCACACCACACCCACGTAAATCGCTCTTCACTCTCCGACTCACCCCTCGCCCTTTTACACTCGTCACACTCACCCTCATAGAAGTCGTTATCCTCTAGGAACCTGTCGGAGAGTCGCACCTCCATGCGCAGACAGTCGGCCAGCGAGAGCGAGGCTCCGCGCCGCAGCTGCTCGGCAGTGATCACCATCGCCGTGGGAGACATCTTCAGCAGCGTGGCGTGGATCTGCGGACGAGGGGGGGGGGGGGTCAGTGGGTGGTATAGGTCTGGAGGAGGGGAGGTAACAGGGGTGTGAGGTAGGGCAAGTGTATTTAACTCTGAAGAGCTCTGTATACTGGAAAATTGTATGGGAACACGTATCTGGGGAAAGGGATCTGAGTTAGAAAAAATGCACTTATATGTTCAGCTTTCCGGATCAAGTATAAAACAAACGAAAAAGCATGAGTGTTCCTTACCTTACTGGCGAACTCAGACCCATCCTTCTCCAGTGCAGAGAGGATCTCCGGCACCGAATCGCTGGCAAAACACCGATTTATTGTCTCCATATGTGGCTCCAGGGAGAACGGTTTCCCTTTGTCGAACTCTGGGGAAGGGGAACGGGTGCGTGTCAGTCGGAAGTGTCATTATACGCGGAAGAATGGACGTGGGTAACGGGAGAAGTTAAAAGATTGTCTGCCGGCTAAGTATGAATCAACGAAGAAACGAGAGCCATCGCATGTAACTTAGCAAAATACAACGAGGAGGGTGAAAAGAAACGTCTCCGCGTCTCCGTGAATGAGTCATAAAAATGTAGGTATATCACGTCAAGCCATCGGTGAAACGAGAAAGAACTAAATGTAAAGCCAGCAAGTAATGCTTCGACACATTACAACCAACTTTGATAGTAAAACTCGCATCAACCCGAATTAGCGTGGGATATACCGCTCACTTGAGAAGCCGCCAATCACTTCTGAGTAAGACAATTTGGAGGTAAAATCGCTCGCTAAAACCGACTTTTCTCGAACAGCGTAGGTGTTAATGCCAACAAATCGTCTCCTAAAAACTCGGTATTAATTCGACGAAAGACAGGCCGTGGGTGGATACACGATGTTGAGCTACCACGAAAACAGACGAAACAGACGAAGAAACAACGCATTTATCTCACTACCGTCGATAATACACACAAACTCCATCAGTCTATTTGGAATCAGAGTGGTGGTAACAGTCAAAGCGCCCACTAGATTTAGAAATTGCAAAACTAGCGGCAGCTACGCGCAGCTCCGAACATGGATTTTGAATTAGTGCATCCGAGAAAATCCCTGAACTCATAAATTCGATAAATTATCCACCGCCTACGCTCACAAATCAGCCCGCCAATGAAACGCGATTTTAAACTGCAATGATCCACTGTCCCCTAATTACGTAATAACTGGGCAACGTTAGCATGCGACTCGTGAAGTGTCCCTTTGAGCGGACGGTCAGTGACCTTGGGGTCACTGACCGGACCCATACGTCACCGGTCGCGAGGTCATTGGCAGGGGTCACCTGCCAGCCGTTTTACGTTAATAAAAGCAACTGAAGATTTTTTGGATAAGCTTCATTTTTCAAAGTTTAATTTACCAGTATAACGCCTTTTGGGGCGACTAACGGAGCGAGCGAGAGGGTGGGCCTTGCACGTGCGAAATTGCGGGGGGGTACCTCCAACTGACTTGTGCACGGCACCCTACTAAGCGGTCTCTAGCGATGTGCCAAATTTGGGCACAATCGGCCCAGCCGTTCTCGAGATCTGTAAGCGGCACCCTGCACGTGCGCACGTGCAAAATGGGTCCCAACTGACTTGTGCACGGCACCCTACTAACTTATCCCTAACCGTGTACCAAATTTGAGCGCCATCGGTTCAGCCGTTCTCGAGATCTGGAAACGACCCCTGCACGTGCGCACGTGCAGCAGCACCCCAACTCTGGCACATGGATATGCAGCACCTAGTGGGTGCCTACCTACATGCCAACTTTCAGCGCAATCGGCCAAGTAGTTACCGAGATATTGCAACAATTACAAAACTGACACCTCTTCGTTTTGCACGTGGCACGTGCATAAGGGGTCACCCACATGCTTCGGGAATAGTCCAATACTTGGTAGAAGGAATGAAGCTACCCTACAAAAATTACCGCATGTAAATCGGTCAAGTGGTTGCTGAGATATAAGCCTCGCAAAAGCGTCCGCACGGCCGGCCGGCCGGCCGGCCGGCCGCTCATACTCAGAAATTTCCGTTAATCTAAGGAAAGACCATGACTACGCTCGCTCCGTAACTAGTACCAGTATAGCGCCTTTTGGGGCGACTAACGGAGCGAGCGAGAGGGTGAGCCTTGCACGTGCGAAATTTCGAGGGGGTATCTCCAACTGACTTGTGCACGGCACCCTACTAACCGGTCTCTAGCAATGTGCCAAATTTGAGCACAATCGGCCCAGCCGTTCTCGAGATCTGGAAGCGGCACCCTGCACGTGCGCACGTGCAAAATGGGTCCCAACTGACTTTTGAACGGCACCCTACTAACCGGTCCCTAACCATGTGCCAGATTTGAGCGCCATCGGTCCAGCTGTTCTCGAGATCTGGAATCGACCCCTGCACGTGCGCACGTGCAGCAGCACCCCAACTCTGGCACATGGATATGCATTGCCTAGTGGGTGCCTACCTACGTGCCAACTTTCAGCGCAATCGGCCAAGTAGTTACCGAGATATTGCAACAATTACAAAACTGACACCTCTTCGTTTTGCACGTGGCACGTGCATAAGGGGTCACCCACATGCATCGGGAATAGTCCAATACTTGGTAGAAGGAATGAAGCTACCCTACAAAATTTACCGCATGTAAATCGGTCAAGTGGTTGCTGAGATATAAGCCTCGCAAAAGCGTCCGCACGGCCGGCCGGCCGGCCGCTCATACTCAGAAATTTCCGTTAATCTAAGGAAAGACTACGCTCGCTTCGCTCGCTCCGTAACTAAAAAGGTGCAATGAACATCAACACCCTCCACGCGCTTTCATCGATAAGCGAACTCCTGTATATGATATTAAATACTCAATAGCCATGCAGCAGCGTTCACAGTTCAGCAACAACGTAATCTCGTTTTAAGCGGCTAAACCAACTGAACTCCATCCAACTCTAATAACAAACACGAACGCTAACTGCCATTGAACCTTACTGACCGGCCTTCTGTGTGTAGCTGTCGAGGATGGCCTGCAGTCGGCTGACGCCCCCCTCAGCCACCTCTGCCACCAGGTCATCGAGCAAGGCAGAGTCGCACGCGTGAGTAGAGATCCCCGCGTGCAGATTATCGCGGCCCTGGGGACGGAGGGGAGGGGAGGATGGTGAGCGTCTCTACTGCCGGGAGAGGAAGGGGGATAGAAAGCGTTATATGAAATACCAGCACGCGCTAATTGCCTGGATACACGAGAAACTATCATGATCAACGGTACATCGAAAGCAGAATTAGACGCTGAGAGTATCGAAAAATAAAAGAAAATGAACAAATTGTAAGAGTCAACAACTGGTGACATCAAGTACAACTGGTGACAGGTTGAGGTGACCAAGTACAAAGAACAACCAAGTATCTGAGTTTGGTGCGGGTGCTCTGAGGTACCTCTGACTGACCTTGAGTCGGTACCCGCTGAGAGCCAGGAACAGACCGAGCCGACCCTGCAGTCGCGGCAGGAAGTGTGAGCCACCGACGTCCGGCAGAAAGCCAATGGCCGTCTCCGGCATGGCAAACAGCGTCTTCTCCGTGCATACCCGGTACTTTCCTGAAAACGTGACCATAGTTAAACCCAAGATCTGATATAGAGATGCTTTAAAGCGAAAATGTTTTCTAAATGCACAACTGATATTTTGGGGAGGCGTTTTCAGGCAAGCCTTATACTTCATTGACAATATGTGAGTGGTAAAACATTGTACCGTAACGTTTTGACATTTTATCAGCAAATCATACATTACTTTATTGTAGTTAGGCCATTCTGAAATTCACGAACGATCCTCATTCCTCACTGCAATAAGATGCTATTTTTTTTTCTTTGCTCGGCCAGCCTAGTGCCAGTCTCGAGCGGTGGGACAGTTAACCCGGCAATTTTGGCCGGGATGCAAAAGTTACCTTAAACCGGTTTATGTTAACCCGGGATAGTTCCTCCATTACGTGTTCAAAAGTCCGTCTGCCGTCGATAATCCTGGGCATAAGCAAAGACGAACAAAGAGCAATTTTTGACTTTCTCAGGTCACAAAATATTTCGAAAGACACAAAATATTACCGGAAAGTGCATGAGGGTTAATTACACCCTGAAAAGTTTGATGAGAGGTGACATGTAGTGCGTTGAAACACATAGGTGGGCAAGTCCGTTAAATCGCTAATCCGTTAATTAACGGAACTAAATTTTGGGTTAACGATTAACGGACTCGCTAATTTTTTCCACGTGTAACGGACCGTTTTAGTTCCGTTACTTTTCGGCTCCGTTAATCGTTAAAATTTAGTCCGTTAATCCGTTAATCGTTACTTTTATTTCGAAGCAAAAAGTTTACTGTTAAGTTACTGGTGTGTATGAAACCTTCATGCGGCGAAGTTTCGGCAAAGAACACAAGAACACAGGTTACTTGAGTGCGCCTCTTGAGCTGTTTGTGTGCGCCTCATCTCTGGTATTCAGTGTGTTGCGGCAATATACGTTGCAAATTGTGATGCACACGCCTGTCATTGGAACGCTGCCTGGCTGAGAGGCGGAGATAAAGGGTAGAGCTGTTTGTCAGGCGAGCTGAATCGTCGGTAATGCAGGTTGAAATCGGTCGCAACTCGCATAACACATATCATCACCATGTATTATATTTATAAATAGGTATATCTTATCCATGCCGTCACCGAGCAGTCGCAATTGTTGGCAGGTCTTCGAGAGCAGAACCGCGCTACAAGTGAGTGGCGCCTAGCCGTTAGCGTAGGTTGGTCGAGCTGTCCTCAGAAAAATGCACAAGCATTTTCATATTGTTTATTACCGTGTAAAATGTTAACGATTAACGGACTAAGAAACTTCCGTTACTTTTGTTGTGAATTAACGGATTATCGTTAAACGGAACTAACTTTTTAGTTAACGGATTAACGATTAACGAAACTAACTTTTTGATTAACGATGCCCACCTATGTTGAAACATTAAATTTATTGCTATGTGGCAAATTGTGAAAAAAAAACAAGCGACACCCTGACAAATCTTAGTTATGTTATCGATCCAAGGCCCTCGATCGCAAGGATCTCGATCGCAGTGTCTCCCCCCAGTTCGGCAGCACCGATGACTCGTCTCCCCATTGCATTTTGAAACAGTCCAAATCAAAGCCCTGCTGTGCATACCGTGGATCTCCGGTGTCCATCAATTAGACTGCCCTCGCAAGTCGCACGTTCCGCAGTACAGAGACAACAATCACCCGTACACTACGTACCATGTACGGACATGCCGCAGCCGCCTCCCATGGTGATACCGTGCTGCAGCGCCACGTACGGGATGGCCAGCTCCCCTGTCAGACGGTTCAGACGGTACTCAGCGCGGAAAAAGTCGCCGGCCAAAGGATCGCCGGCCCGGCCCGCCTTTGTGATGGAAACCACGTCACCGCCCGCGCAGAATGCCTTACCGCCGGCACCTGCCAACCAAAGCCAGCCATCAAGCATATACCTAGGCATCATTGTCTCATCATTTCAGCCCTTAATTTCAAAGACCAGACTAATGTAACCTTTGCAACTGTAAGAGGTCATGAAAACTGGACAGCATTCACATGATTGCAGCACATCTTGCCCTGACACTTCAACAGGCGTGATTCTGACAAAAGCCTCTACCCGAACTGGACCCACCTCTGATCATCACCACACCCAGCTGACTCTCCCACTCCTTCAGCTTTGGGTGGATCTGGCGGATCATGTTCAGGTTGAGAGCGTTCAGCTGCTTGGGCCGGTTCATGGTGATGATTCCCACTCTATTTTTGACTTCAAACAGCACCTCATCAGAGGCAGCTGAAGTCATGCCACGACTTGCCAGCACTGGCACACGGTTCAATGTGCCCCTCATCACTCCACGAAGTGCCATCTGAAAGTGTTCCGAATTTGGTGTGGGCTGCAAGGACTATAAAACACAAACATGTCAGAGACAGCTAGAACTTAAATCCTGAGAGTCTGTATCGTAGCATAGGTGCTTTCTTGATGCTCATCTAGTGAAATAGGTAGGTACCCTGTTATCTCAATCTACATAACAATAAGCAGTAATTTACCTACCTATTAGGTCGTTCAATAAGTAACGAACAATCGGTCATAACTTCTTTATTTCTTTATTTAACACTTTCAAACTTTCACAGATTATAGATCAGACATTTCTGAATGCAGCCTATGCCTCAAACCAGCCGCCGCCCGCCTGCACACACTTCTCCCAGCGTTCCGGCCAACGCCGGAATTCCGCCCGGAAAAACGCGTTTTCCGTCTTTTTCACCCAGTTCATGACAGCGCACATGACTTCAGCGTCGGTCTCGAAGTGTTCACCATGGAGGCCATCCTTTAGGGGACCAAAGAGGTGAAAATCTGAAGGAGCCAGGTTCGGACTGTAGGGCGGCTGGGGTATGATATTCAGCTCTGTCACGCGATCTCCTCGCGCGTGGCGTGAGACAAGTGCGGTCGGGCGTTGTCATGGTGTATGGTGATGTTGTTGACATCCGAGCCGCGCCTCTTCTTCAGGATTGCTTTTCTCAGTCTCCTGCAGGACTGTGATGTAGCGGCCCGCTGTCCATAGTCCGCCCAGGTTCAAGAAAGCCCACCAGGATGACACCATGACAACGCGTCCGCACATGTCTCACGCCACACGCGAGGAGATCGCGAGACAGGGCTGAATATCATGCCCCAGGCGCCCTTCAGTCCGACCCTGGCTCCTTCAGATTTTCACCTCTGGTCCCTGAAGGATGGCCTCCGTGGTGAACACTTCGCGAGACCGACGCTGAAGTCATGTGCGCTGTCATGAACTGGGTGAAAAAGACGGAAAACGCGTTTTTCCGGGCGGAATTCCGGCGTTGGCCGGAACATATAGCCCAAGGCTATATAAACCAGCCTTGGCCGGAACGCTGGGAGAAGTGTGTGCAGGCGGGCGGCGGCTGGTTTGAGGCAAAGGCTACATTCAGAAACATTTGATCGATAATCTGTGAAAGTTTGAAAGTGTTAAATAAAGAAATAAAGAAGTTATGACCGATTGTTCGTTACTTATTGAACGACCTAATACTTTTAGGAACACCATTGACACATCCACTGACACGTGAAAATGAACACATAGAATATAATGAATTGAATAATTTGAAATCCTCACCCTTGTCCCTTTTCTTCAAAAACAGTTTCGCGAAACACGTAGGAGTCACCCCTTTCACCTTTGAATCACGCGTGAAAACTAAAAAGCAATATTGTAATCGTAATACACCTTTTGCAAAGGAAATTAGTTGATTCTGTTCTAACCCCAGAAATACTGTAATTCATGGCATCATAGAAGAAAAATTCGAAATTCAATTCGCTTAAAGACTTTTGTGTAGTCGAAAATGCTGCTAATAGAATATTATATAACCGTCTCAGCTGCGCAGTTATTGCAGCCCAATAAGCCCCTTATATTACTGCTATAGATTTTGTATTCTAGGAATGAAAAATAGACCAATATTTGCTTTCTGACCAGAAATATACGCATAAAATATGGTAAGCTTCGCTTAAACAAATGACTGTTAAGTAACGTACCTTAACTAATTTTATGATACATAGGGATGACAACTTGAAGAAACGAGTGAATTCTAAAGGAAGATGCACATTCAAGTTTCACTGTAAAATAATGTGAAATCAGCTGTTGTGAAAATAGACAGTTCTCACGCGTCTCCGACATCTGTGATTTTCGCCTCGTGCTTCTGTGGGAGAAGGTAATATGAGTATTTGATCGTTTTACGTCCTGATTGTAAATGATAATATTTTACGCAGATAGTCAAAAGTTTTAATATTAAGGATTATGTTTGGCCTACTTTACAGCTGAATGCCTTGAAGCTAAAGACTGCAATGCCTCTGGGAACAGTCGGCAAGGTGGCAATTGGCTGGTAGGTATCATCATCTCAATCTCAATCTTGGTCTCAATCTGTGGCTTTGGACTTCGACTTTGTTTTCCCTTATGCTTATAGTGTTTATTTTGTAAATTATATGGTACAGGGCTCGCGGGTTTTAGCGGTAGGTTTTGCACCTAGAAAATTTAGTGTACTTCAGGTTATATCTTCGTCGTCTTAAGCTTTTAAGTGTTGAAGATGCGATCGACTTGTTGGGTAACAAGCCGGCCATGATCGTGTAAAATGGCTTCATCGTAGATCGATTAGTTTCTGAGATATAACCGGAAATGTAAAAGTGCAAAACCTACCGCTTAATCTCGCGAGACCTGTACCTCCATCCTCATTCAAAGCATTCCGAAATACTGTACCTCAATCATCAATAGAATCAGATCTATGAGATTTTAATGGCCAATCAAAATATGTGTGATATTTATGTACATTTAGGTCTGATTGCCAAAGTACCTACCTAATTATGACAAGCATTTTGTTTATTTGACTCTCTGAAGATTCAATGGACTGGAGTCAAGACACATCCAGTCAGTTGCTACTCATAGGTTTAGCTGTCCACTTGACTGTGTTTCACTTTTAACAAGAGGTATCCACAGAAATTAGTTATCAACTTATTAGGATCATTATTTTATGGGAACTTTCCAATTTCAGGGGGTGCTTTTGTCAGTAAGGGGCTGTTTGAGAACCCTCAAACCCCTAATTCTCCACCCCTGCTGCTCCAGACTGGCAAACATCCATGCTGATACACTACGCCGGACGCCCGTGAGAGCCTCTTGCACCGAAAGCGATTTTGCACTGAAATTTCTGTGTGATTTGCGCAAAAAATTAGGTGCCTATTTGTGCGAAAATCAAGCCCTTTTTATATAAAGCACATGTGCACATCTACCGATCAAGGCTATATGAACCAGACAGTGTTCCGGGGCCTTGTATGCTCTCCCATGTTTGAGCGTCCAAATGAGTTTGTCATTTCCACAGAAACCCAATACCTCAATAGTTTTAGCGCACTCTAGCTTCATGCCGTGAAACAAAGCTGGAGCCGTGAGTTCCGGGGCCACAAATTTGTGCCGATGTTAATATCGGCGGAGCAGTGTGTTCGAGGCTGGTGGGAGTGGCAGCGATCGGGCCGGGCAGCGGAGCAGCATGTGCTCCTGCACATCACCCTCCTCCCGGCACATGGCGCATGGAGCGCCGCGGGGCACCGTTTGTGTGGGCACTGCTGGCACGCCGCGGAGTGGAGACAGCCGATTCGGTGCCGTATTGGAGCGAGCGGCCCCAGTGGCCCGCCCTCATCTGGTGCACCGAAACGGCATCCTCTCGGTCCGCTCCGGGGATAGGGAGCGGCGACGTGCTCCCGAGGAGTGGCTTGAATAGTGATTCTGGGCAGTTGTCGCAGGGCAGGAACCCACTGCAGTATTGCTTAACGACGCTTGGCGATGTTCAACAAGGTCTTCCATACCTATCTCCACGCCGAGGGTTGAGGCCTCCCTGGGCAGCCGCTTCTCCGCTGAGTTCGAGCACCAGTTCGAGCACGCGACGACCGGGGCGGGGAGGTCTCGTCCCGAAACCTCTCCAGAGCCGCCCGCGGGGCGAATCTGCTGCTAGATTGACCAGCGTACCGCATAAATTCGGTGACCGTCTTTCGCCAAAAAATTATGCGACCGCCCTGCGCCGAAAAATTCGTCCGCCGCCATGCGCTGAATTCGGCGCATGCGAAGTTACGCCGGACGTGCGCTGAAATTTTCGGCGCAATCCTGCCACTTCGCCGGACATATTCAGCATAACGTGTATTATTTCCAGTCTGGCTGCTGCTGCCTAATGCCTGCCTGATTGCACATATCTGACATCAACTTACCAATTACCATCCTGTGCCAACAATCAATATTTCCTCATTATGAATCCTGCTCCATGATATTTGTCAAGAGTAAAATTTTGTTTTTTATTTTTAAAACTGCCTGTGATTTATTCAGCTGTGAACTGTGATATTGAACTACCTGATGCACATTATTTTAATAATTTATGTGATGAATGTCTTTTTGTCTTATGAAGGATGCCAGCTTTATTTACTTATTTAAATTCTGTCATTTATTTCCTGCACTTTTTAAGACATTGAATTTATTCATTTTCCATGTTTTAAAAGGGTGTCTTATACCACCTTTTTATATTCCCTGGAGGCCTGATGCTGATCTGAGTTTGCATAATTGTTATTGTATTAGGTGGTGTTCAATCTAACTTTGCTCTGTTGTATTTTGCTTTTGCTCATTTACCATCCATTTGCCCAGAACTGAAATAAATTGTCTGCTACAGGAGCATAATAATCGTCGGTGGTCTGGTCAGCTTCGCCTGGGCCAAGAACAGTGTCGTCAAGCAGCGCCACGAGTTGATGCGCGCCCGACAGCGCATGCTCCGAGCCAACGACGCAGACTACGAGAGCGAGCGCAAGTTCACCGGCTGAGCGACTGAAACGGGCTGTACTGCGACCGGCTTGGCCTGGCGAGGCTCGAGTGTAGTGCGAGGCTATCTGGGTCCAATCGCGGCCCGGTGGAACTCTCAGAGGGGTGTCTCTCTCGCTTAGTGAAACTCTCCTAGCGTGACGCCACGATGGCCGGTTCGGGGGTGCCGGGCGGGCTCAATGAGGGCCAGATGAAGCTGATGCAGGACCTGGAGGTCGAGGTGATGGCCGACCTCTTCAACCGCATGACGGCCGTCTGCCACCGGAAGTGCGTGCCGACCAAATACCGTGACTCAGAGCTCTCCAAGGGTGAGTCGGTGTGCCTGGACCGCTGTGTCGCCAAGTACCTGGATGTACACGAGCGGATAGGTCAGAAACTGACCAACATCTCGCAGGCCGAGCAGGAGCAGATGAAGTCCATGATGGCAGCGCAGCAGGCGACGCCCTAGCGGAGGCCGCGGACGCTCGGGTGTGTGTCTGATTAGATGGGAATGATGACCGTTGATGGCCGATGGGGATTGGATGAAGCGATATATCCGTCTGCATCAGTGCGGAGTGCGCGCCGCGATTATGGTACTTTTGACCAGGTGTGGTAGATATTGGCAAATGCGTGCGTGTGTGGCGCGCGGCCGCATATTCCGCGTGACGTCTCATTGTTGAGTACGCTCTGACACTTTACACTGTCTGTACTGAAACGTGAGCAATATAGCGATAGCTATGGAAATGCTGAACTACGTGTTCTGTCTGCGAGGATGGATCCTAGCTTCTTCCCCGCATTTGCATGTCATGGGATGGGGTGTCACTGGACAGCTATCACTTCGGCGCAGGAGGCTGAATGTTACTTCTTTGACGAATGAAGAAACTAAACGGCTAGGAGCAGTTGTCACACGCAGAGTTCGACCGAGTAGTCTGGGTGATTCCCCTCCCACGAGTAGATACTGTTCTATCTACTTGTGTCTCTTGCATCGTCTCATCCCGTTCCGTGACAAACAACAATATTTCTTACTCTCATTTAATATGCATTGAGATCAGCAAACAAAATTATATACAAAATGGGTGCACATAACAATGCGGAGATAAATACAGTTACAAAAATATGAGTACGGGTCCGCTATGGACTCGGGCTGGCGACACACAAAGAGCTCGCTGGCAGGCATTGCACGTGGCGCTGGCGGCCGGCGGGTCACAGCGGCACCTTGACCTGACCCTGACCTCTGACCTGTCCGGCCGGCGCTCAGAAAACATGGCAGCACTGTCAACGCGGCTCCACGAATAACACACAGATGTATGGTCACAGACGCTTCGGAACACGCCAGTCATGATTTGAATGCGACAAATTTCGGCTTGACGCGGCCATGAAAAGAATGATGGGCGATGTTCTCTGCATAGATATACGCATGAAGCAGCTGCCTTGGATGTTTGAAACGTGAGGTTTAAAACTGCAACGAACAACATCAAAACACATGAAGACTCGTTAACGCGATGCCACTCCAGCTCAGCTCCACAGCTGTGTCATGCCCAGCATGCCTCGAGCACGGGTCCCTCAGCTCGACCGTCGCAGCGGTCACTCACACATGGCCGCCTCCATCGAGGCCTGTCCCAATATGGCCGCCTTGTCCAACTGAGATCGCGCAGCGGCGGCGGTAGCCGGGGCGTGCCCAGCTCGCGCCCGTTTGACTAGGTTAGCAGACAAGTCCCGCCGGGTATGTCCACCACAACACAACACCACCCTCCCCGGGACGCCAGGGCGCCTCCAACCAGGGCTTCCGAAAGGCCACCGAAACACCAGGATGTCACAGTCTGCAGTCCTCATCAGAAGCTGACGATAAAGAGCGTGTAAGCGCTGCTTTCAACTGCTGGTCGGACCGATCATCCCGTCTCGCGACTATCTCGCGCCTCTGCCGTCTCGCCGCCGGTACTACCGTTCCGGGCGAGCTCAGAATACTGTGTTTGTTCGATCGCGGCCGCGGCCCGCCGGCGCCGCTCAACTTTTCTCCCCTTCACCGGCGCTAACGGCAGCGGCGTGCGGTGGCGGAGGCAACAGCAACAACGCAACGGCACGGCACAGGCGGGCGGCGAAACACATCAGTAACAGTGCCGACTATCACAATAGCGTCCCGAGCAGGAACAACCGCGTCTGGCTGTGCGCGACTCTCTCTCTCTCTCTCTCTCTCTCTCTCTCTCTCTCTCTCTCTCTCTCTCTCTCTCTCTCTCTCTCTCTCTCTCTCTCTCTCTCTCTCTCTCTCTCTCTCTCTCTCGCGTCCTTCTCTCCTATCCTGTTCCTGAACGGGCGTCCTGCCGGTCTCGGCGTCACACACAGCCTCTACGGACCGCCGGCGGGCGGGCGGGCGGACGGCGGCACGCCAGGCTACCGGTTCGGGCACAGCATCGGAGGCACGCAGACGCCCCGGTGCAGCAGGGTACCCTCGGGGCACACACAGCCCGGCTGGCACTGCACGTCTGCCGAGCACAACTCCGCCGGCGGCTCCGGCACTGCGCAGCTCGGCTGGCAGGGGCTGCGACAGGCCACGTAGCGCGCGCCCGTCGGGCAGCGACGGTGCACTGTGGACAACCAGAGAGGGGCGTTAGACACGGGACGCTGGAAGCACGGGGGATTCGGACGCGGGAATCAAGACACCAAAGCATGATAGACTGCATAGTCTGGTAGTGCAATTGGGGCTGCATTCGCACGTTTTCACTCATAAAGAAGCGGAGAGGAATAGACAGTGACTATGGCGTAAAACTTGTGTTGCATCTCAGCTTTAAAATATCGATGAATTGAGCCTGAACACCTGCACCTTAATCGTGAGGGCTGGGAGCAACAGGAGCGTTCAGTGCCCAGGCTACACCACAGCGACCTCTGGCAGCTCACAAAGTACGTATGCAGCCGCCGCGCCACCTGTCTCATCCTCACCTGCACAGTCTGTCCCCTCCAGCCAGTCGACGAAGACGCCCTTGCGCTGACAGTCGTGCGCGTAGGCCGTCATCGCCTCGCAGTAGCAGCTGCGCTTGTGGTCGCACTCGCACATATCCTGGACGCAGGACCTGAGGGGAGGGTACAGGTGGGTTAGTCACCGCCGCAGCGTCGTCACCGTCACCGCTCTCAGTCACCGCCGCCCGCCCACCGACCGCGAGGGGCGGGTACTCACACAACCAAGGGCGGCACACCGCCAAAGATGGTCCCGTTCGGGCAGATATCTTCCCGCCTGTGACTCAACCCCCGATAGTGATCTTCCCATGTGACTCATGTCACCTCACGACAGTCCCCACCTCACGGCGCGAGCAGCTCGGCGACGTGCCCGGCCGACACCGCCCCAGATAGCACCATTTTTAGTCCATTTCCAGTCAAATTACGTGGCCGCTCGCTCGTATATCGCGCCGAAATCGGTCACCCTCGGCGACACCGAGCGCGTTGACTCACTTGAAGTACGACGCCGGGTGAACCTTGGCGTGGCAGCCGGCGAACAGTGGAGACTTGAGCCGGTTACACTGGCGGACAGCGTTGGCCCGAGAGGCGCGGTCTTTGCAGGACGGCTGCCGCTTACGGTTCTTCCGAGACTTGCGCCGCGAGCCTGCCGAACACCGCGAGCGACCTAGAAAGGTAAAGAAAACGGTTAGCTTCGCGGAACTGACAAACAGAAACTGACTGGTGGTAAGGTAAGGGTAAGGGTACATTACACGTCAATTAGGTACAGTTCAGTTCTTCCGTCTACATATTTGTAAATAAACTCCGCAAAAGTGCGCAGCATAAATATTGATAATTGATATACATAGTAGCCCTGGAGCACATCATATTTACCCGTATTGCCATCCGAATACCACCATTAGCTCACTAAATAGGCATTCAAAGTCCACCAAAACTCGAGTATGATCTCTTCTACCCTTCCTATTTCCTACTTCAACCCCCCACCAGAACTACCGTATCCAACCCTCGCTCCTCACCTCCGATTCTCCAGGAGCGGCCGAAGCGGCGCGCGCTGCGCACCCGTTTGCCCCTCTTGGTGGTGAAATCGTCCGAACGGACGCCGTTGTAGTTGCCGCACAGGCCGCACATTTTGTTCTTGTAGCTGGGTGGCACCTTGACCTGCAGGAAGCTGTCTCCGTCCCACGTTACGCGAACACCTGAGGACGGAGGGCAGGGCAGGGGCTGGTCAGAGGCGCGGTGCAGCTAATGAAGAGATTACAGTCGATTGCACGCGGCGTAGTACTTAATTAGCAATAATTAAGACGTGCTGACATCACGGTGTGTGACGCAGCATCAGTCTGCGGCGGAACTGCGGTTTGCTGCAGGTCAAAATGTAGACGGTACGGCACATAGCTTACATTGCAGGACACGTTGCAGAGATATTGGCCCGATAGCGTTCGTCCGTAATGTGCACGATGCTTTACAATATTGCCAAACTTGTAACATCGCATTCTTGTAAAACAAGAAAGAAATCAGGAACCTGAATCTAGGTCGTAAATAAAGCCTGCGGGTTGCTATACCGTAACGTCAAATCTCAGTTGTTAGAAGACTATATCGGATTTCCTACAACGCAACACAGATCACCATTTCGGGGCTCGCATTGCTTGCAACACGTCTATATGTCTGACTACACCCAGCCCTAGGAACTCAGCCATCCTGTGACTTGTGAGTCTGTATCCACTAGAAGGTGGGCACTGGACAGAGCCCCACCGTCGGCCGGTCCCTGACCCCCACCGCTGACCGGCAGGATAAGTAGTTCGAACGCCGACCGCAGCAGCTGTCGCACCCCCTCTCCTCCCCTCCCCTCCCGTCCGTCTGCCGTGCCGCTATCGCCCTCCATCGCCGAATGGTAGCCGATATTGTAAAGCGATTATGGCGATACGATCTGGCGGGGTTCACCAGTGCGGCGCTCACACGGCAGTGGCAGACGAAAAACGGCGTGTCTTTTTCCCGGCACTAATGCAGCTCAGCGGCCGCCGGGTGCCGCAGCAAAGCAGCTCGAGCAGAAGGAAAACAGGTGGCCTGACACTTTCCCGACCGAGGTTTTGGGGCGGATAGTTTTTGTCTCTTTGTGGTGAAAGAAACTGAGAAAACTGAGTTAAAGATAGCCAGGATGGGCTGAGGGCTCATGTTGTGATGTGTTGTGCATTGATTTTTCGGCACCGCAATTTCTTGTTAATCATTTCTTTTTCATCCAAAACAATCATGCCACTTGAAATGAATGATAGTAAAATAACAACTAGCAATCAAAAACGACATTAGTTGACGGACATTCCTGATGACCCGGAGACCACCGATGAAAAATCGGTGGCGCCCTCCTCCGCCCTGCCTATCACTCCTGCATTCCCCTCCAAATTTGCCGGCGTCGGAATGCTGGTCCGTGGGCCGGCTGGCCGCCAAATATTTGTCCGGTCGATGGCGATTGCCGCCTGTCGCCGATAGTGGTACGGTTCGAGCTGCGACCACCCGGTAAACCGGGCTGGGCAGAGTTGGACAGAGCGCAGAGCTACGAGGGATGGGAGGATGGCGAGAGCGCGAGAGGGACGCGACACGAAGAGGGAGTGTCGTGAAGTGATAGGGTTACATAAAATCCGTCCCAAATGCTTATCACATTGTCGATGGGAGACGGTGGACCCGTGCAAGACGACGGGCGGATATCCCGTGACTCAACTACATCCACGCCCCGTCCATCAGAGCACGAGCGAGAGCGACCCCTCTCTGCTGCTCGATGACAGATCAGTACAGGACTCGGCTCTCCGCAGCACTATCGGAACAGCAGTCAGCTCCCGTGTTACGGACCGGCGAACATCGCTCAACCACGCCCAGCGACAGCGCCCGCCTCATACAACTGGATCAACAACTCTGCCGAGCGTTACGCCTCTCCTGTCCAATCCATGCAGCTCACGGGTTATGTAAGAGGCATGAGGTGAGGTGGTATGATAAACAAAAACATCATTCGAGATATTATGATGCTCAGCTTGAGAATCCAGTTGATGTATACTTACATTCTCAGTCTTTTTAGATAGAATTCGGGTCCCTTTCCCTCGCTGCTCCAGTTCCGTTTATAGCGCAGACCCACATTCGAACAGAAGCCACTCTGCGGCCGTAGTCCTGCCTCAGCCGCCGGCTCAACACTGTTCGACTTGACCCGGCACCCGTTCCATAATTCAGGTCCCGCATTAGCGCTCCAGTGGCCGCGACAGTCGCTCGACTGTCCCCATAAACACCGCTGACCGGTCGCCCAGGGGTCGGCTGCCGACCGACTCCGGCTCGGCGCATCGCTAATCGGCCGTCCGCGGCGGCCGCGTCGGCCGTTAACGTCGGGCGCTGTTCAGTAAGGTGTGTGGACGGCACCCGGCAGAGACAGCCGCCGGCCGCCCCGGGCGGCTCTCGACGGCACGCGGTCGCCAATACCGGGTAATCTGCCGGTCAGAGGGACCTGTCGACCGCCACCGGGCGCCGGCGGGCGCAGCCGTTTCTCAGCCGGACAGACGGCCAGCAGCGGCGCGCACAGTTTACGAGCGTTGCATCAGCCGACCGTTCAGCTCACTCACCGATGGCCACCAGCTTCAGGACCACGTTGAAGTTGTCGGTCGGGTCCTGGTAGATGATGGCATGGTCCATCTCCACGAACGGCAGCTCCTCGAAGCGGCCATTCACCTTGACGCGGCCCTTCTGACGGAGTGAGATGCGCAGACCGCCCGCCTGAGAAGGGGACAAGGGGACAGATTAGCATGGGCTTGTCCATATACGGCGACAGAAATAGACACACACAAAAAAGAAAAATGAAGCAGTGAAACGCAAATCGTCTTAGTTAATAGGCAGAAACAAGGAATTCGTAAAAAACTTGTTTCGCCACCGTATCCCGCCGCAGCATTCTTACAGATATCCCGCCGTACCTTGATGCTGACGGATCGGGTCCAGCTGAAGAAGCGGCTCTTGCGCGCGTCATTATTGACGCGGACGGAGAAGGAGCGGTCAGCGCAGTCCTTGGCCAGCACGTACTTGCAGGTGCCCTGGTAGTTGTAGATCTTGCCGTCGAACGTGTTATAATGCGGGTCACCGAAGACCTGCGGGAAGACCGTCCCGGTCGTGTCAGAGACATGGCGACACGGCGCATACATTTGCATCCGCACGCGGCGGCGCGCGGCCTGCATGCGAATGACGACAATAAACTGGTGTAGCAGCTCACACGGGCCCGTCACATTTATTGCCCGCGCTGGAGACAGACTACTAAAGCCGAAATGCTCGGTGGATGACCGTTGTAGGTGGTTGAAATCTGCAACGTCACTTTAGTGCTCACTGTAACATCCTCATCGCAACAAGCTGCATCATTTTTTAGCAGCTTCGGTCCCTAGCTGCATGTCCTGTCCTCGTTATAGGCAAACGCATTCCAGTCTCTACTGTAATCACGCTTTATATTCAATCTACATTGCCCTAAGTTCACAGTAGAAACACTGCATGACCTTTCACATTTTATCCACCACCTCCCTTATCCCCCCTCCTCTTCCCACCCTATCACTCACCGTACACACGGCGTCATCTTCGACGCACTGTTCGCAGCACTGTCCGGTGAGCTTGGCGGCGTGGTGACCCGGCGGACAGGTCATGTTCCGGTCGCACCGCTCCAGCTCGCAGTCGATCTGACCGTCGTTACACACACACTTGGTGCACGAGTTCAGCTTGAACGTGCTGCCGTCCTGAGAGAGCAGATAGAAACAGTTACATGTAGGATGGAAAACAACATGTCAACACATGTTCGCCCGCTGCAACGTCATTAACGTACTGTGGACTTGTTGCTCCAAAATGCTTTGCCAGTGATGCATTTTATTTTGTATTATAGCTATAACGGAAAGTAAGTAGCAATCGCGACTGTGTTTAATTGTCTTAGCGGAAACAATCCCTCAAATGCCAAACATGTCTTGGCATTTGAGGGATGAAACAACATGTCTAGATAAAATCCGATAGCGCTATACGCACCACGGACCAACGACCAGCCCTCCCCTCCCCTCTCCCCAGCACAGTTCAGCTACTCACCTGGTACGTTTGTCCGGCGTACCGGCAGACGCGCCGGACGCGCTCTGGCCGCCGGCAGACGGGGCAGCAGCGGTCCGGACTGTACACCTGGTGCACCAGCGGACACGCCAGCTCCGGGCAGCTCTGGCGCGCGCACACGCTCGTCGAGCCCTGGCACGAGCACTGAGTGCACGGGTCCAACGTGAAGTTCTGGCCGGCCGAGAAGCGCCGCTTGCCCATCACGCAGCCGTCGCTGGGCTTGATCCGACGCGTGCCTGCCGGCCGGGGAGGGCGGGTGTCACTTGGGGGCGGGGTCGGGGGACACCGACGCCCGTACACAAATATGGATGTTGGGTCTACATATATCTGTGTAAGGTAATTATCAGCTGCCTAAATATGTGTCCTACAAGATAAATCAACACTTGAACGTGGATATACCCTCGAGCTAAATACAAGCTGATCATATTTAACAACCATTGCAATCTTATCCGTTCACCACATCCGATCGCCAAGCATCCTTCAGCATCGTTCCGCACCGTTCTTACCTTTGCAGCGCGGGCAGCACTGGCCCTGGTCTCGCACCGTCTTGGACGCGGGACAGGAGAGCGCCGGACATACGCGTTTGCTGCAGCTCTGGGTGCCGTTCCGGTCGCACTGACAGGTCATGCACGGGTCACTGCGCGGCGTGAGCTGTTCGCCGGGCGCGATCACCTGGCCGGAGAGCAGACAGCTGGGACAGCGCGGGCAGCACTCGCCCGGCGCCGGCGGCAGCGGGTTGGCGCACGGCGTGTGACACTGAAAATACAGGACAGAGGGCCGGGGAGGTCAGATACAGGGACAGGTCATATAGGGGAGAGGAGGTCGCTCGGCAGCGGGCTAGTCGGTCAGCTCGAGCGCAGGGGTCTAGCTGGAAGGTTCGGTCGGGTAGCATTGAGTGGGCGCCGGGCGGTGACATTTGATTGGATCTCAATCTTGTAAGTACAAATCCACCAGGTGTGAGTTGCGGAAAACGGCGTCACAAAAAGGGAATGCGATCACACGTGTGTTGTTTGCCTGCCAAGGTTGACATATTCGCGAGGCCCCATTCACACGATTGTCGACACGTTGAAACGAAACGAATAATTAATAGGTCAAACAACAGCTTTAGGTGCCATTGTCGTCATCTCGGTAGCTGTTTTACACATAAAAACGGATCAAATGCCGCATCAGTAGTGTGCTGCGGGGGAGAAAGTGGTGCAGAAAACTCCGGAAACTCCTGTTCGGAGGTGTCGCCTACAAGGCGGCTCACGGAAACAGACAGGGAAGGCCGCGTCAAAAACACAACTGCAGCATCTAAACTGCTGTACGAGAACATGTTGAAAAGGCCGTGCACTGACGAGTCTTTGGTGGGATCCCTGTTCTTGTGGCAATGCAATGCCATGAAACTATCGGGAAAACAAGAACATCCCAGTGTCCAAATAGAGTTGCAATGGCTTACTTTCACCACAACACACTGTCAGCAAGCTCTTAAACGGATTCCGAAAGATAAACACCATGTTCTCAGGAAGGCAGCCAAAAAGTACCTAGGGTGCAACGTATAGCAGTGACATGGCAATTGGAAATAATAGATTCACTTGTCACTTAGTATGTCACGTAGCTATAACACACAATGATGTGTTAGCAGGCACAGCTTCACCGTGTAGGCATAGCATCCACCCATACTAAAAAGTTACGCAACGTTGAAGAAATAAGTACCTACCTGAGCCCGTAACACAAACTTTGAGTACTGCTTTGCTTGTAAAGAACAACCGCTTATTAAGATGACCTTGCAAAGCATGCATACGTGTTAAGCAAATGAGCCTATTCGTCATCCGATATGGCAGAAATGCCCCCAATTTGGCAACAACCAGTACCGATAAAAGCGGACCACTATAGACCCAAGGCTATCACCTAGCAGTGTGGCACCTAGCACGTACGGGCCGCATTCCTTACCCCGCCCAATCACCCCCCCCCCCCGTCCTGACAGGTGCACATGCCAATGGCGCCCGAGCTGCATTTCTTCCAAACTCCTGAAGACGCGGCGCGGCGGCCGGGTAGGTAAACCGGCAGCGTCCATGTATAATTCAGCAGCAGATCGGCCGGCCTTGCACGTAACGGACACCGGACCACCTGCCAAGGCCGTGACGATCGGCGGCGCGGCGGCGGCTAATTCGGCGCCCTGCTGTCAATGTCCGCTACCGGACCGAGCGGCCACCGCCCGGCGTCGACCCGCTGCCACACCGTCCGCAACCTAACCGTCCACCGCACCCGGCACCAAACCAGACAGAGGCCAGACCGTCTGCCTACCGTCCACAGTTGGTGGCCCGCTACCAGACCACACTGTCCACCTGACATTACACCTTGACCGCCCGGTACAGTGATAGATGCTGAAACTCGCGGCGGGCTGTGCTCAAGGCGTTCCATTTTCTTTTCTGCATGAAAACGACTTCATTTTTAGCTCATCGGAAAGGTACACACTTTATATTGTCACGCCTCTGTTTCCGGACATGGGTTTCTTTTCACAAACTGCAGACATACGCAGTAGTGAATAGCGTGTTGAAGTGATGTTATGACGGGTGAGTTCCTTGCAATAGGGTGAGAATCCTGGATTTTCTGGCAGGTAGATGTAAGGTCATAGCTGAATGGCTCAGACTGCTGATTTATGTGATAATCCCGGAGTAAAAGTGCCGACACGACTGAGCTCTTTGATCGGGGCGCCCTCCAGAGCGCGAGGTCTTTGTCGGACATTTCCCGCCCACGTCTCACCAAACGGCGCCCGCCTGCCCACCGGAAACCGCAATCCCCTTGACCCACCACAGCGCAAACGGCTCTTTCATGAAGTCACTGAGACCTTCCGAGATTTACAACAACCATCAAACACCATTTTCCCGCTCGCAGACTGTCTCCGCCACTTTTCTCCAATCACAGTCAGTCAAATTTGTTATTTGCAATAACCCTACCGAAAAAGATCCACCGACACAATGCCTTTAACAGCCCTCTTCCGACGACCTTCAGTTTTCACTCTGGCTCTGCTACCGGAAACCGCCGTATTCCCAGCGAGTTTTGGGGATTACGAGACAGCCGCCGTCGCGATACATCTAACATGTCGCGTCGGCGCCGCGGCGGGCGTCTTTGACGACCCCCTTCACCGGCTAACAGTCCACTCCGGAACCGGGGGGCCCCGCTTCCGCCCCCCCCCCCCCCACCCCCCACCCCGAGCAGTGTCCCGCGAGGATCAACATAGCTGCTCCACTAGCCGAGACATTCCTAGACTCGACTAGAACCCGACGACATCCCTGAGCGGATCAGACGATCAGATACATTTCCGAGCTGGCAGGGCGAGCCTGTCGCCTCTCGTCTCTTGTCGGGCGCCTCAGACGATCACATCATCGCAGCCCGAGTCCCGTATCTCCGAGAGCGCGCCTCTGGGACTGTCTCACAGCCGTATCTCACAGCTCCATTCTCACACAGTGCTCTCGCCCTCCCTTGATTCCCTTCTCACAGCGCTATCTTACCTTCACCGTGGACTGGGTGATGACGCCGCTAAAGCAGTGATTGACCCGGCACGGGTCGGAGGGCTCCGGCCACTCGTCGCCCTCCTTGTGCGCGCCATCGGGCGTCGTACACCCTGCAGACAGACACACAAACAGCGTCAGACACAGAGCTGCGCGTTCGCCCAGAGGCGCGTGATTGTTCGACGCGCCGATCGTACAATCAATAAAACGGTCCATTAATCATGTCATGGGTTTGTTAACCAGATCAATCACGCGGGAGTTTGTTTGAAGTTTGCTGGTTCATAATTCATTTATTAGCAACGTTTTCGAACGACGTTTTTAGACTACATGATAAATGAATTGATGTATTATCAATGTGTTGATCAAACTACCGTATCTATGATACAAAAATGACATTTAGGTACGCTGAGGTATGTGATGGACCGATATAAAACGTCAACCGGGTGGGTCAAACGGCTTTTGCTCGGCAGCTGAACCCTATTTTCCCCAACGGAGGACCCACAAGCGGCTTCGGTCTCGGCGAATAAACAGACAATTGATTATCATCATTCACGTATCCCAATATACACTGCCATCGACACCGGGTGGTCATATCGAGACATGGAACCGCCTGCCAGCCATAAACCTCCCGGAGCTGACAGGTGAATAATACCGTTCAGATACCATCACCGTGTCGCCTCGCTAAAAAAGCAATTACACTGTGAGAATCGCCTAGGAATTTCCCTAACCGGAGCACATGGAATTGAGATCTGGCGCACATCGCACACTCGTATATACCGGCATATCTAGCTCTGGGATCACGGCTCACCAGGCACGGGCGCTTCCAGCGACAGACGAACGTCATCTCCGTGAGAGTTCACGGCGGACGGAGCTGGGGCTAGGCGTAGCTGGGGAGCCAGGGGAGTATATCGCCGAGAATCTCGCTTATTGCCGTGAGGAGCCACTGGGGGTGACTACCGACTCCAATCACTCGTTACCGCCCCGCCGCCTGAGGACGGCCCTGCAGTCCCGGTCCCGGTCGAGACGACATGCGCCGAGGAAATACGCCGAATGACTACACCGCGAACACAGATCTGCGCCAGATACGCCGGCCGACGGCGTCACTTCCTCCACAATCGGCGACAATCGCTGTACGACGACCGACGGCGGCCGACGGTCGAGGCGTCCTGCTGAACACCACGCCTGTTTCCATGGCAACTTTTCACCGGAAACACGCGGTCTGCAAGCGATTCGCTGCAGCAAAAACAGGTGCAGACAAACCCAGCCGACGCGATGAATGGCAGATTGGTATAGGCGATTATACAGTGATCGATGCGGTTCATTCGAAAACGATCTATGAGAACGTACCCGCACAGTACCAGGAAACAGAAGTCCCCTGAACAGTGTAACTCCAGCAGCAAAGGCGGTGAGGTCAAGAGACACGGGAAAATGATTTCTTATTGATGGATAGTCGATACGGAACATTTCTCCGCTAATCGCCGGGCGTTTCGCGAAACGCAGTTCAAAAATGACAGCCAGACGGTGCACTGGTTCTGTTGATGATATCAATCCCAAATCTGTACGCACCGGCTATGAAAATTTGGCAAAGTGATGAATAGTTTGGTGAAGAAAAGCCCAGCTTAAATATCCATTTAGCTGCAGCAGCGATATAGACATATGACAGTTTGCACGGAAGAATGCTAAAACCTGTAGTTCCACAGATCTCTATAATTGTGCACATTCATATAAGAAAATCCTTATGATCCCTTTCACTCTACCTTGAAAACGTCAACCTCCCTTATTCCAGAAACCTTTAGCCATTTACCCCATCACCAGTAAACGGTAATAACCGTCACACAGCTGGGACGGGCCACAGGCACGCGGCCGGTTCCCCTGATCGTCAGACCGCACCCCTCGTCGGCATGCGGCTCCCACATAACGTTCAGACGCTCCCGGACACAGGTCCAGTGGCTCCCACGTGCGGATGGCCCCGGCGACCGCTCACAGTTCGACGGTCGGCACTTCACCAGCGGCCTGTGGTCAGGAGTGCGCTGCGCATGACCCTTCTTTGCCTGGTGGCTAAAAGGCCGACGGGGAGGGCGAAATCGAACAAACGGTCAGAGGAAATTTGAAGGAGTTGGGACTTTCAGGGCTGATCGAACCGATATCGGAGGAAGGGCGGGTCGAGGGCGTTCGAGGCCGGTATGCCGAGAGGTCGAGCTTGGTCGACCGGTCGTGAAGAAGTCGAACTCGACCCGGGGAGGTCGGACTCGGCCAGGGAGAGGTCGGGGGCGGCCGCCGGTCTGTAATTGTGGCCGCGCTCCACGGCCAGGTCGGCGGGTCAGACGCTGGCAGCGGGCGCCCCGCCCTGCGGAACCCATCCTGCAGTTAGGGCCGGTCGCTAATACGGGTCCGGCGCGCTCCACCGGCGACCCGGCGACCTCTGCTCAGGCGCCGCACCGCGCCGACCTCGGCGGGAGAGGGCGGCAGCAGATACCAGCCCGGTGAAGGAGAACCGGGCATAACAAAGGAGGGGGTGACTTACAAGCTACATAGGCCATTAGCAGAGTTATCAAAGACAGTGAGCCAATTGCAGCAAGCTTTTTCTTATATCAATAAACTGTCGATGCGTCGCTTTAGACCACAATGTCATCGGCCATTAAAACATGTTTTCATCTGTTTCCCGCAACAGTTCCTCGATCAACTTGTATGGCAGAAATCAGGGTGACGGTAACTGAAAAAGACCAAAGCATACAATCTGTTTGCTTTCATGCGGTAACTGAAATCACCTTTCCGATGAATGCGGAAGTTTACCAATAGCATTCATATCGGATCGATGTTTTGAAAGAACATGAGGAAACGACCGCTTTGAGATCACGATTACTCAGCATCTTTACGTTATCTGCACTTCCAGGCACCATACCTGCGTCATCACAGCAAATGCCGAGAAACTAGGACAAATGTCGACCTAGAGTTAGCCACTACCATCTTCAGGGCCGCTCCCCAGCAAAAGGGCGTGTTCACACGAGGTATCCAATGTGGCCGAACAATTTACGACCGTCCAAAACTAGCCGAACAAGCGAGCGCCGATATCGCTCTTACATCACACGGCACAGATTCCGAACACTAAAAATCGGGCGCCGGTAACACCAGTATACGGGCTGCGGTATTCGAGACCACATATCTGTCACACCCTCTCCGAAATATCAACGACTGTCGCCGCCGTCAAAGGACGTCAGAACACGCCAAAAATCGCGTACCGAGCGCCGTGCACGCCAGACATCCATTTGACGTGCTATTCACATAACAGTACTGCACGGAGCGCGAACGGAAGGCGTCGGCGGCTGCCCGGACCACTCCCAGACGAACAACGCACGCATCGAACAAGTGTCATTACAAGAGAGAAAAAACGGCGCTGGCCGAATCTACGCTGTGTTACAGACCCGCGCCCATGAGCTCAATCGGTCTGCCTTCTGAGGACAGGCGGTCTTAGGAGAGATGCAGTCACCAACCTAACAATCGAACATCTTAACTGGTTGGGACTTATGTGTTGAGCCAGCAACACAGCATCACACACCAGACACCAAACAGCAGACGGACGAGACAACTTGCGATCACCGTGACAAAGTGGACTATGTAGGAAGCAGACCCACACCAGACAGTCCACCAAAATCTAATCCAGAGACAGTTGTCACGGACCCACCTTTGCACTGTTCGCAGCAGGAGTCGGGCCGAATGCGCTGACCGAGCAGCAGTAGGTGGCACGTTTTGGTCATGTCGCACCGCTCGTGGTCACATATGACCAGTCCGTCCTGGGAAACAGAGGGTGAGGATCGGTCAGTAAAACCATACAGGTAGGCACTGTCAGTACGAATGTGTAAGTACGGCCCACACATGCATGTTGCATGGCCCATCACACTTGTCTGTTGCACTCCTACTCGTTCAGTCGCCCTCCAAGGTGTGGCTGTGACCGGGTCGAGGTGGGGCGGGGCACGGTCGGCTCGGGTCAGCACTGACGTCACAGGTCAGCCCAGGTCACGGTGATTCGGCACAGGATAACGACAGGGCGCGGCTGACCCCCGGGAGTCACCGTACCACAGTGACGTCACACTGACGTCACTGACGAGGCCGCTGCACGGCCGGCAAGGCCTCCGCCGGGGTTCACAGAACGGCTCCGACGTGTCATGCCTCATGAATGTGCCGGGTAAACAAGTATCGATTTGCAATTATCCTTATATGGCGCGAGCCTCACCCACGGAGAATAGCTCAACCCCACTTCCGCGATGCATTGCAAGAGGCCAGTTACTATGAAAATTCCTCCCGCGGTGTCTGTACATGACTAAACAGATGGGTAATGCAGGTATCTAATTACATTACGATGATAGTTACACATGATAAGCCCATAAGTTTAGAACCGCAACCAATTTACTGCCTAGATTAGCCTGTCTACAAATTGAGCTCGGCTTTACCAGCACGGCGGTGCGTGCGTCGATTTTGCCCATTTGTGTTGATGGCCGCATGCCACATTTATGAGGTGGCCTATCGCCGTGCCAGAGTCCGTCTCAAACACGCAGGCGACCCACCCTGTCACCTACGGCAGGGCGGATCCCATGCCAAAAACGACGACCACACCGCGCGCGAGCACCGAATCCCATGAGGAAAGTGATCGAACCAGGGGGAAAAGTGTCGCCTTATCGCCGCTGTGGGGATGTTTTTACACCCGTGTGACGGCTGGACGACGACACGCCGTTGGTGGGTGTCAGCACACACCCATCAATCAGTCGCGGTGGGACGGTTGAGCGCGCACTGGCGCGTAAGGTGACACGGTACACGTCAGAGCGGTGGGTGGTGACAGTGTGACACCACCTACATCAGTGTGACGCAGCCCATGTCACTGAGGCGGCCCACGTCACCGTGATGACCCCACGTCAGTGCGCCTTTCTGCGTCAATGCCGGTCAGCCAGTGTCACCCTAGTCACCCTCACCGGCCGCTGCCCTTTGACACGCCATCGCCCAAGGGGCGATCCAGCCGCAATGGCACCGGGGCCAGTTCAACGGTCCAGAAATGATAAACCCCAGACCATCAGCCGCAAATGTGCGTCATAATGTAAAAAGCAGTGAAATGTATCATCCTTTCAGAAAAGTGCGCACAGGTGGCGAACATCGTCACTTTTGTGACGTGGGCAACGACATGCGTCACTGCTAAGCAGGAACGTCAACCTGCATACCTACGTCCGGTCATAGTCCACGGTACCCAGCTGTCCATTCAGGCCACTAACCACAATTAGCACCTCCTCAGTGACCAGCGCACCACTCCACATACCGTCCCGTCACCACGGCGCGCGTGTCAAATTCCTCGGCACCAATCACCATAGCCACTCCCCCGAGCCAGCTTCGGCCAACAAGGTCGCAAAGCATGAGCCAGCGCCGGCCCAAAAGCCCTTCCACGAACAGTCCGGAGATGGCCCGCCGTCCACTGGACCGGGTCGGGTCGGGTCGGAGGGCTGGGTAGCATCGTGGTGACGAAACCCAGAGCCGCATACCACCGTGCCGAGCAGCGCCCATACGGCGGGCCACCACCGCGAGCAGCAGGGAGCAGTGCACGGGCGAGGCCGTATCAGCGCCCGTGCAGACGAGACACGGGCCGCCACGTCACGTCACATCACGCTACATCAGTCACATCAGTCACGTCACACGATAATCGGTTCATAACGACCGGATGACGACGGAGCGTGAGACGACCTTCCCGAGATAGCAGAGCGGCCGGAGGAGCTACATCACGTGATCACCCACATCCGTCGCCGCTGGGGTCACGTGACGCGCTCTCGGCGCGGCGGCGACATTCCTGGCGCGGTATCAGAGCGCCGCGGGCGGACGGTGGACGGACGGCGACACCTGAGAGAGCACGAGCCGGTGCGGTCAGCCGGCGGCGCGGCGGGCCAACGACCGAGACACCGGCCGGTGAGCGCGAGCGCGCTGTCACCGTCAACGGCCGGCAAAAGCGCTGCCACTGTGCTGGTGTTGCTGTCAATGTGACCGTCACTGTGACTGTCAACGCCACCGTCAGTGTTACTGTCACAGTCACTGTTACCACTGAGGTCGCTGTCAACCGGTCACCGATGTCACCACTGTCACTCCGTCAGCCTCTGTCATCTCTGTCACCTTCACCATCACTATGTTGCAGGCACTTTAGAAAATCAGTCATTTTGTAAAATGCCTAGGCATTTTACAAAAAGACGGCTGTTTGAAAAATGACTGAACGCAACCAGACTTTTTTTTTTAAATGGCTAGCCATTTTACAAAATGACTTGGCATTTTGCAAAATGCCTGACCAGCATGGAACGTAGATCCCACTACAGATACTATGGCCAACAGTTTTTGGACGTCTTCCTATACCCTATAGGTACGTGTTCAGCCTGTAGCTGATCGATTTGAAGCTCTGTGCTGACGACAATGCTGAGTAACGACCAGGTTGAGTTGCAGACTCGGCTGTAGCATATAAAGCATGGTTTAGTTAACGCTTTAAAAACTCCCAAGTACATCAACGCCGTTCATGTTCTGCCTGAAACTAGACCTAACAAAACCAGCCGGAGACCGGCCCTGGTCAATAGGCAGGCCCGGTTGATGTACAATTACATGTAAACGAATGAGTGTAGTCTTTGTTTGATTGTGCCATTACGGACAAAACTGCATTATGTATTTGGACATTAAAAACGCGTTCGAATTTAATTATAATTTCCCACTCCTTCTCTCTCATCCTCACATTTTAACACGCGCAGTGGAAGGGGGGGGCGGATTCCGCCCACCCCTCCTGTTTTTCGCTAATAACTCGCGCCGCAAGCATGATATTAATGTGAAATTTTGGCTACCTGTCCAGAATTGAACTGCGGATCTTCTCGTGCAAGAAATAAGAAAATCAGGTCACAACTTTTCTTGTAATAGCGATGTAAAGTCAAACATCCTGCCGCCGCGGCGGCGCGAATCATCAGGTCGCTTGGCGTAGGACGAGAGCGTTGGTTTCAGAAGACACTAACGCCTAAGTGTGCGGGATCGAATCCTCGCGACCTCTAATAGTTTTACAGATACAGGCCGGCATAGGGCCAGTCATTTGTTGACGCTCCAGATCGATCATTTTAAATCCAGCAGCGTCGCTGACGTGGGGGTTGGTAATGTCGCGAGCCTGCACTTCTCAAAATAGAGGTAGGTATGGAATTCCCACTGCTGGACTCGTATCTACAACACGCTGCTCAGTCATTTTGTAAAATGGCTAGGAATTTTGTAAAATGCCTAGGCAAAATGCCTAGGCATTTTACAAAATGACTGATTTTCTCAAGTGCCTGCAACAACTATATCTGGGACGGTAGGACTGTCCAATGTCCATCCAGTCCACCAGCTGACCGCGGCGACGCTCATCGCTCTCACCAGATCTGCAGATTCCATACGACCTATGCACCTAACTATACACGTTGCATGCAGTTGTCACAAACAGCTGGGCGTGAGCAGATTTGTGGACGAAGGTTGAGTTCGGAGCGTGTGTCCAATGTTTACATGACACGTGGGCCGTCTGCAAGCAGCATTGCATCCTTTTCTAGCACTCTGCTCGTTTTGGCGGGCTGCACCGCCGTGTGTCCGCGTTCCTGTGTCGCTATTTTGACCCTCCGTGGCATTCTGACCGTATATGGGCCGTTCTGGGCGTATCTGCAGAGTTGTGCCGCGGAGGGTGGGGCTGTCACTGGCGTCTCCGCGGGCCCGGGCGGTGAGTGACGGTCCGTTTCCCGGAGCCGGCTGGACGCCCGTCTGGGCCGCGCCCGGGGAGCTGCAGCAGCCCTCCCCTCTGAGCTCCGGCAGCTCTGGCGGCCTGTCGCCGGGCGCGGCGCCGCACCTGCCTCCGCGGCGGCGTCACGTGCAGGCTGCAGCCGGCCGGCCAGCGCGCGCTATGGCCTTCCCAAGCACGCGAGGGGCCTTGTCGGGATGTGTCTTCTCACCGGGTCCGCGACCCGACCACCAGGGGTTTCCAAACTTCTCGGACCCGGTCACCGTATGGCACCGCCACTTATCCCACTCCCACCCAGCCGTAATCATCTGCTAAAGACATCTTAAGTCGAGTCGCACTGAAAGTAGCCCTATTGGCCGACAGACCGCCCTCCCGATCACCACGAGATCCCGGTCACATCACCCGATCACCGCGCCCAAACACGCCACGTTGAGCGCCCCACGCCGGTAGCGAGGCCCGCCTGCATGCTGTGACGTCGGTATAATAGTGGTGAGGCGTCAGAGCGAGCCGTTGCAGCGGTCACCGCCTCACCGGCGTCGGAGCGCCGGGTGACGCCCGCAGTCCAGCGGGACACGGACGGAACCGATCACCGGCCGGGGTTACCTACTCAGTCGTAGGATCGACCCGGCTGGGTCACCGACATATCAACGAGCTATGTCCGAGCATGGACACTGAGCGGCTTCCACGCCCACTCGCAGTCATTAGCAATGCATGTAGCGACAAATCGACCAGGATCGACTGTCATTTGGCATTAGTTGTGGCATTGTCCAGCGGTGCCAGCACTCGGCGCCGGCGGCGGCGGCGGCGCGACCAACCGGTTTGTTGACTGTGTCAGCTCATGTCGCGTGTTCGAGCCCGCTATCTGGCTACATAATGTCCACTGCCCATGTATGTCTGTGTCATCTCTGTTGACTCACAATACCACCTGGTCGGGCGCCAGCCGTCTGCAGGCGCGTCTGTTTAACCGCAGCTCCACGCCTTCACAAAGTTTCCTCTCAGCCCGCGCCAGCTCACAGAATCATCCAGTCGCACCTTTCC